ATCTGGAATAGCCGCTTGATCGAAATGCCTTCTGCTTCAAGAGAGTGCTGGACAGTGTCTACGTACACGCGGCATGATGCGATCCAGGAAATCTCGAGTTGAGAGCCATCGGGGGCGATTGGTTCTGGCGCGACAACAGGAGGCCCGAATCAGGAGCCATCCCTGACCAGCCCCTGCCCTGACAACCCGGCGCTCTGGCGTTGGGCGAAGTCGTGGGAGGCGAGCGCACAGCACGAGAGTGCCGCCCTCCGAGCTGCCACGAGCAGGCGCACGCCAGGGCATTCCTGCACCTTGCTCTCCGCGGCACAGCTCCGCAGACCGGGCGGGCTGCCGCGCACAGGCGGCAAGGCACGCGAGCAGCGCAGGGCGCCACGACGCGTCCTCCTCCGCATGATCCTCCCTATTCTGCGTCGTTGTCCTCCTCCTCCTCCTCCTCCTCCTCCTCCTTCTCCCTCCTCCTTCTCCCTCCTCCTCCTCCTCCTCCTCCTCCTCCTCCTCCTCCTCCTCCTCCTCCGCAACCGTTTCAAGGATGGAAGGCTGGCCGCTGACAAAAAAAACGTGGCTCTCGCCTGAGCGCCGCGCGCATTCGCCTCGACGTTCGCAGCAGTCTACAAGATGGAGAGCGTCTCAGTTTCAAAGCTTGCTCTCGCCTTGGCGCAGCGAGCGTTCGTCTCAAAAGTCTGCAGCGGCTTCGAAGATGGGGGGCGGCTCATTTTCAAAATGTCGCTCTCGCCTTAGCGTCGCGCACATTCGTCTCAACAATTCGCAAATGCTCCAAGGATGGATAATGGTCATTCCCCATATAATATCTCGCATTTGCGCAGCGTGCGTTCGTCGTAGAAGGGCGCAGCAGTTTCATAGACGTAGAAAGAGTCATTGTCAACATGTGGCTCTCGCCTTTGCGCCACGCGCATTCGTTCAAAAGTTTGCAACAGTGGCAAACATGGAGGGCGTCTCCCTTTCGAAGTGCGGCTCTCGCCCCAGCGCCGCCCAAATTCGTGTCAAAAGTTCGCAGCAGGCTCAATGATTCGCATGGTTGAAGTCTTAGGGAAGGCCTTCTGGCACGACTCAGGATTGTCAAGACGCAACCGTCATGTTGATTCGCCGTATTGAAGTCTCAGGAACGGTGTTCTCGCACCATTCCGGATTGTCAGGACGCAGTAGTCACGCTGATTCGCGGCGAGACGTCCCAGTAATTGTACTTGTGGTACGATCTAGTATTCTCAGACGGTTGTCTTCGAGCGGGGCACAGCCCGCAATGACAACACATTCCTGTAAGGACCTGTGAAGAGGGATCTCCTCCTGCTCTCCGGAGGGCCCCATTCGAACCACTCGGACCTCCTAAAGATGGTGTGCAAGACCTCTCTGGCGCACCGTGCAGCCCTTCAGAGGCCCAGAGAGGCTCCTCCCCTTCCTCCCCGACTTCCCATGAACCACGGCACCAGACATGAGCGTAGCGCAGCGGGAACCCTGCTTAAGCGACCGCAGGGCAGGTGATTCACTTCGCGCCGTAGCACGCTGGAGAACGCGCAAGGCCGACCTAGCAGCGCCAGAAGGACAAGGCAAGACGGATTCGATTCCGAGCCTGAAGTGTGGTCTCGGCAAATGGAAAACTCGAAGAAGCCAATATGGAGCAACATTGGATATCAATAACGACGCTCTGTGGCACGTTGTTTGAAACGCCCACCAGCGGCCAAGCTCTGCTGGGCGGCTCCTCCAGTCCGAAGAGGGACCACGCCCCCGCCGTGGTCTTTCAGAGGCAGGAGGAGGAGGAGGAGGAGGAGGAGGAGGAGGGGGAGGAGGAGGAGGAGGAGGAGGAGGAGGAGGAGGAGGAGGAGGAGGAGGAGGAGGAGGAGGAACACCAGTAAGGAACATCATCAAATCCCCTCGAGCTCCCAGGTGAAAGGGGGGGCGCTGCAAATCGGCCGTGCGTGGCGGACACGCCCACGACGCGCGCGCGCGTCCCTGACTCCCCCCCCCATCCGAATTAAAGGAATTCATCGTGTCTGGTTGCATTTGACCTGGACGCCCTGCGCCGAGGGTGAAGATAAAGGCAAGGTGGGCACCATTGAATGACCACCCTCCAGCTCATTCCTACCCCAGAGATCGACAGGCCCAAGGCGATGATAATCTTAAGAATGTGCCCTCAACTAGAGGCCTCCTAGATGGGGTCCGAGTAGATGGGGTCGAAGGATCGCGTGGCATCACCAATGCATCGCCGATGTATGGGCGATGCATCGGCGATGCATCGGCGACGTCGACGATACATCGAAGACGTCGGTGTGGGGAAACACGAGCTCCACATCGAGCCGCCTCGTCGACGCATCGGCGATGCGGCGCGATTCTCCGACCCCATCCGCTCGGACCCCATCTGGGAGTCTGGGAGGCCCAGATCAACGCAAACTGGGCGGATCCTTGCGATGCGGCGCGATTCTCTGACCCCATCTGCCCGGACCCCATCTAGGAGGCACGCAAACTGGGCGGAACCTTGTGATCGGCACCGAAAAAAGAAGGGCGACGCCAGTCTTGAGGATGGGGACCTGTTGCAGGCTGGTCAGTATATGGAGCGTCTCCGAGCGGCGCCACTGGGCCAGAGGCGACACGCCGGGCGGCCAGCGGCCGCAAGAGGGAGAGACACCGCAGGCTGCCCGGCCGGATCCGGGCCTCCTCCCCCGCCCCCTCGGGGGTTTGCTATCGGCTACACTTAGGTCGGGCGTGTCCCCCTACAGGCGGATTTTCGACGGAAAGTGCAAAATGGTCAATATATATACATATATATGTATGTATGTATGTATGTATGTCTGTCTGTCTGTCTGTCTGCCTGTCTGTCTGTCTGTCTGTCTGTCTGTATGTATGTATGTATGTATGTATGTATGTATGTATGTATGTATGTATGTATGCCTGTATGCCTGTATGTCTGTATGTCTGTATGTCTGTATGTCTGTATGTCTGTATGTCTGTATGTCTGTATGTCTGTATGTCTGTATGTATGTATGTATGTATGTATGTGTGTGCATATATATATATATATATATATATATATCACCAATGCTCAAAAATGCTCAAACAATAGTCCCCCGACTATTTTCTGACTGTTTTTGAATTTTCCCGCTGTAGAGGGACAGGCCCGACTTAAGGCTACACGCAAGAGTGACCTTTGGTGCGCGGCTTTCTGAGGGCTGCGGGGGGACCAGCCGCGAGCGCGCAAGGCGCTACCATCGCATCGCGCTCGGCGATCGGGGGACCCATCTGTGCCCGCACCAAAGGTCACTCTGGCGAAGGGTCACTCTTACGTGTAGTCGGTGCTAAAGGTGCCCCTGGCCCAAAAGTACCGGTCCCTTTTGGGAGCCCATGGGGCCCTCTGGACCTCGTGAGGGGTGCTCCGGAGGCCGCGGGGACCTCCTTGGAGACCCTGGGGGCACCTTGGGCCGGGGGCACTTCTGGCAACACCCGAACCGTGCGCTGACATTTCGTCCTGGACCCTGCCCCGGACGGCCTTGTCGAGGCCGAGAGTAACGAAGAACTTCTGGCGCGAAGCCTTCGGTCCCGCGGGAAGTCGGGGTCCAGGACTCAAGATTTGCCTGGTGCTCTGTGAGAGTATCGACGGGAATCTGGCCGTGACGACGAGGGCACCCACAGAAGGAGAAGAAATACCAGAACAAGTTGGTTCTCGAACTTCGATCCTCCTTCGGAGGCAGCTGCAATGCTCATGAACATCGATCCCCAGACCCCCCTCGGAATTCCCGCACTGGCCAATTTCTCACCCCTCACCGATTTGCGACGGTCCCAGGGCCTGGGGCGAGCCTCCCGTGTACGAGATCGACTCTGTCAATTGAATCGTGATCGTTTTCTTTTTCGGCGTTTCGATATTTTGCAGAAGATGGGGGGGGTAGGGGGGGGGTCTGGCTCTGGACCTGTGCTTAATGCGACTGCTTGCAACAGTGCTTCCTCTGGGCGAGGCTCCACCCGCTCGAAAGGGGCGCCAAAGACAGCCTGGATCTACTCCAGGGGGGGGAGAGGAGGGGGGGTCCAGGGGCCCGCGCCGATCGGCAAGACAGCGAATAAGACAACGATGACATCCTCGAGACCGCCATTCTGGGTCTGGCTCCTCCTCCTCCTCCGCCTCTCCTCCTCCTCCTCCTCCTCCTCCTCCTCCTCCTCCTCCTCCTCCCCTCCCTCCTCCCTCCTCCTCCTCTCCTCCCTCCTCCTCCTCCCTCCTCCCCTCCTCCCTCCTCCTCCTCCATCCTCCTCCTCCTCCTCCTGCCATCCTCCTCCTCCTCCTCCTCCATCACTCCTCCTCCTCCTCCTCTCCTACCTCCTCCTCCTCCTCCTCCTCCCCTCCTCCTCCTCCTCCTCCATCCTCCTCCTCCTCCTCCTCCTCCTCCTCCTCCTCCTCCTCCTCCTCCTCCTCCTCCTCCTCCTCCTCCTCCTCCTCCTCCTCCTCCTCCTCCTCCTCCTCCTCTCCTCCTCCTCCCTCTCCTCCTCCTCCTCTCCTCTCCTCCTCCTCCTCCTCCTCCTCCTCCTCCTCCATCCTCCTCCTCCCTTCTCCCCTCCTCCTCCTCCTCCTCCTCCTCCTCCTCCTCCTCCTCCTCCTCCTCCTCCTCCTCCTCCTCCCTCCACCTCCTCCTCCCTCTCTTCCTCCTCCCCCTCCTCCTCCTCCTCCTCCTCTCCTCCTCACTCCTCCTCCTCCCTCCTCCCCTCCTCCGCCTCCTCCTCCTCCTCCTCCTCCTCCTCCTCCTCCTCCTCCTCCTCCTCCTCCCCCTCCTCCTCCTCCTCCTCTCCTCCTCCTCCTCCTCCTCCTCCCTCCTCCCTCCTCGCCTCCTCCTCCTCCTCTCCTCCTCCTCCTCCTCCTCCTCCTCCTCCTCCTCCTCCTCCTCCTCCTCCTCCTCCTCCTCCTCCTCCTCCTCCTCCTCCTCCTCCTCCTATTTGGGGGGAGAGGGGGTCGGATCGGCGAGGCGTCCGGCAAGATAGACCTCTGGTGCGCGAGGGCCGCGAGCAGCCTGCATGCAGCCCTCGTCGGTCAGCAGGCTGTTCGACAGGTCCAGCCGCAGCAGCCTCGGGGAGGAGGAGGGGGGAGGAGGCACAGAGAGGGGGAAGAGGAGGGACAAAGAAGGGAGGAGGAGGAGGAGGAGGAGGAGGAGGAGGAGGAGGAGGAGGAGGAGGAGGAGGAACGGAAGGTGAGGAGGAGGTGGAGGAGGAGGAGGATGAGGAGGAAGAACGGAGAGGAGGAGGAGGAGGAGGAGGAGGAGGAGGAGGAGGAGGAGGAGGAAAAGGTGGATGAAGGAAGGAGGAAGGATTAGGAGCAGGAAAGAAGGACTGTTGGGAGGAGGAGGAGGAGGAGGAGGAGAAGGAGGAGGTGAGGAGGAGGTGAGGTGGAAGATGAATAATGCCTCAGGAGAAGAAGGGGAAGACGGAGGAATCCGGAGGGAGGAGGGGGGGGAGGAGGATGGAGAAGGAAGAGGATGGAAGAGGAAGATGGCGGGGAAGGGATAGGAGATTGAGGAAATGGAGAACAACGGGGTGTGGAGAAAGGGGGGAGGAAACGGGAAGAACGGGATGATGAGGAAAAAGGAGGAGCAGGAGGAACAGAGTGCGGGGCGGAAGGAGGGCGAAGAAGAGAGGGACGAGGTGGAGAAGAGGATGAAGACTACGCTGTAAGTGCACGGCCGCTGTTTCAAACGGTAGGTGCGCACTGCGTTCCAGTCACCGACGTGCCTGTTTTCAATATGAAGGGTGCTCCTTTGAAGTTGCGCTTTACAATTGCAGGAGCGACTGGTCCAATTCGCCACAAACTCCTACATGATCGCTCCAGCATCATCCTCAATTTCGTCGAGGGTTAAGCGTCCAACCCTTTCTGACCCCCTCCTCATACTATGATTTCCGCCGGTGGTGGCGATACAACCACTTCGCCCTGCATCGCCACCTGCACTATGTGGAGTCCTTGTCCTCTCCGATCATGTCCTCGTTCCCAGCCCAACCATAAGAACACACGCGTTGAATGGCACACACTGATCAAAATCTTGTAAGTCCGCCGCCGTGCCCTTGGGGCACGAGATGGAAGGTTCTCAGGTCCCATGTTCGATCCCCTGGAGTCTCGATGCTCAATCCTCATTACACCGGTCTTGCAGACGTGCCGCAACGGATTTCTGCGTGGATGTTTGCCCGAAAAGGCGAGCGTGAAACGACATGAATTTCGCGTGTTTTTTTTGTTGGTCTTCATTCCTGGCCCGCAAAAAACCGCACGGACTTCACCTCGAAATCCGGAGCGAAACTATCCAGGACATCCCGGGGCCCACCCTATCGTTTTCCGAACGCAGTCTGTTCTGCGATGTTGGCGCCGGGATGATTCCTCAAGGGGCGCGGGCCCGTGTTCGATCCCCCTGGAGTCTCGGCGGGTGGACAAAACATCCCTTTCGTGAACCACCCTCTAGTGAACACGGCCTATAGGGCCGAAACCGATGGACCTGGACCCGCAAAAACGACGGCCGCGACGCCCTCTCGCGCACCGAAAACGGCCGATTCGCTACTCGACGTGTCGGGGTAGGGGGTCACCTCCGAGAGCCTCGATCCTCAATCCGGATGCTCCCTCAAGGGGCGCGGACCCTCGGGGATCTCCTGACCCGGGTCGATCCAGACCCGGGTCAGTCAGGCCTGGCAGAGTCCTGCACATCTCGCCAAATCCTGCGCCTAAGCCCGGGCCAACGCGATAGATCCTGCAGGATCCTGCGCCCAAGCCCGGGTCCATGCGACCCTGGCCCTGCAGGATCCTGCAAAATCGGGCGCTCTGGCTGACCCCCGTCTGCACCGACCCCCGCCTCGAGGCTCCCGAGACCCGAAGTTGCCAACTCATTCCGGGGCTCCCGGCGCGCCCCCGGAGACGCCCGGCGTGCCGGGGCGTGCCGTCGCCCGGCTTCTCTGGGCCCACGCGAGGGCCCTCGGGCGGGCGACGAGGGCCGCCATCGGAGGCGACGACAGGGGCGAATATTGCCCAAGGGCGGGCATTGCACGCATTCGCCCGGGAGCCTTTCTCGAAGACGTCCAGTCAGCCAGTATAGCAAGGATGCGCGATAAGGATGCAGGGGCCTTGGACGCCAACTTCGAAGCTTCTCGAGCGGGGCGCGGCCAACGAAGCTGGCGAAGGATGGGCCGAGGAGGCAAGGATGCAAGGGCACCCTTGGGAAGGCTGCCTATCCTTCCTCTGCGGGTTGACTGCAGATCATCGGCGCACCTGAACACATGTGTTGCTCTCCCCTTGGCTAGTCGCCCCTACACCCTGCGAAATGCTTTAGAAATCATGGGTTAAGAAATTCATAGTCTCGGAATTTGAATAAAAACCCAGAATGTCTATTCAAATCTTAGGATTTACATTCAAACATTAAGAATAATCGAGACTCTGGCCGAAAACTTGGGTTTTCTTAAGCATCGCCTAGAGTGTACCGTCGCCTCTGACGCAGGAGGCCCCGAAGACGGTCCCGTGAGGGATCCGACCCGCCGAACGACTGGCCCAAGACGCCCAAGGTGGCCTCCAGTCGGCCGAAAGAGCGCCCAGGGCGTCCAGAGAGGTCTCCAATGGCCTCCCCCAGAGGCCCCCCAGAGGCCAAAAAACAATGGTTGGCATGGTATTTCAATGATTTTGAGAGTCTCCACTTCTTGAACTTCTGACGCCCCAAGACGTCCCAAAAGGCCTCCAAGACCGCCCCAAGACGGCCCCAGAGGCCCCCAAGAGGGCCCCCAAGACGGCCCCAGAGGCCCCCAAGAGGGCCCCTAAGACAGCCTAAGAAGCGCCCAAGACAGCCCCAAGAGAGGGAGCACGAACCGAAAATTCGAGCCTTCCACTCCAAGAGGCGCCCAGGAGGCCCCAAGAGGCCTCCAAGAGGCCCCCACAAGGCCCCAACAGGCCCATGAGAGGCCCCAAACAAGCCCCCAAACAGCCTCCCAAATGCTTGGTAACTTCCTCCAGAAGGCCCACGACAGGCCTGAAAGAGATCCCGACGAACATCCAGGAGGCCTCAGACCCACCACCCAATCACAATGGCGGGAAGAGCCGAAGGCCATCCGATAGAAAGCGGCACCACTGCCAAACAACGACACTGACCCAACCAATTTCGAAGAACACGCCGCCCCCAATCACCCACCCACACACACCCCACCCACCCAACCCACCCAGGAGCCATACCACGAACGCCAACGCAAAACAAACATAATAAGTCTTTACAGCGTGCAAGCATGCACTCACTTAAGCACGTCTATTATACAATAACAGCCTGTTTGTTGTTTTGTGCGTTTGATTATGCACACAGAAATATAGCATATACATGTATAAATTTACAGGTAAACACTATACAGCACGTTCCTCGAATACTCGCGTACGAACACACTCCTCGAACGCGCTCCTGGACAGGGACTTCACGGCCAACGAAGGTTGCAGAACACGTGAAGTGAACTGCCGCCCCTAGTTACTGGACGAGAAGACCCTACCCTAAAACGCTGGGCTGACGCATGTAGCCAAAAATGCAGACGACGACACGCATGTGGAGCACACCGACCACAATTACCGCGCAATGCGGACTGCCCATTCACACTGTCACACTTGCATGACACGCTCGGTCGGAGGAGAAGGTAAGAGGTATGGGGGAGGGAAGACGGAAGGGAACAGGCAGAGTATCCAACCGAACGACTTTAAAGCCAATCGAAACCTTTCGATCGAGTCGGCACAGAATCACACATTGGAACAGGACACTTCGACATCCCACATTTTTCAGGGCCCATCTTCCAGCAAGGGCAAGCACGGATTCCAGGTTCGCGGCTCCAGGGCGCTCAGGCGAATTATGGCCTGTGCGCAAACAGCGCTGCGCCCTTGGAAACGATGCCCGGCGATGCCTGAAGGTGTCGGAGCAGTGCGGCCTGCAGCCGCGACGGTGACATCTTCCGAAGCCCCCGACCAAGGTGCGGCATCATCAGTCGGCGAGCGAGGGCGCCGCTGCCCCCGCGCGCCTGACGCTTTCTTGCGCCGGCAGCAGCCGCGCGGCCAGTCGACACTCGCAGGGCTCGCGCGCTGCCCGCTGCGCAAGCTGCGGCCACGCTCCGCCCCTCGCCGGCGGTCGAGTCCGCCCCTCTCCGCGCGCGCGAGGAACGATCCTGCCCGCGGCGCCCGCGCCCTGGAGAACCGCGGGCGGCAGCGCTCCTCTTCCTCGGCGATCATCTTGGTGCGACTTCTCGGGAGGAGCACGCGCCGTTCCGCGCCCGCTGCCCCTGCCCCGGGCGGGCCGCCGCGTGCGCCGCGCCCTCGCCGCCACCCCCAGCGCTCATCGATGGCGGGCCCTTCTCTTCCAGGCCGGCCGACTCACGCGCGCGCGATCGCTGGCAGACGTTGGAGCGGCACTTCTCCGCGGGAGCCGGATCGGGCGACCCGCTCGGGACGCGCCGCGGCGGCAATCCCGCCAGGCGCATCGCTGCCCTGCCCCCTGCCGTGTCAAGAAGCGGTGGCGCTGTCGCAGAGGACCCACCGAGGTTCCCAGCCTTTCCCTGGCTGCCCAGCGCGACGCGAGCCAGCAAGCTCCCCAGCGCCGGGCGCCCTGACCCGCTCGTCCGCGATCGCCCTCCTGACCTCGCGGCGCACGACGTGCCAGCACCCGCGAGACCGACCCCCCCCCCCGTCTCCCGGCAGCGTCGCCGAGGCGCGAGCGGTCTTCAGCCGCGCGGCGCGCGCGCTTCCCGCGTGGCACGTCTCGGCCTCCTGCGCCGCCTCCTACTTCTTCCTGTCGCGGCGATTGCACGCGCGGGGGCGCCAGCCGAGGCGCGCGCGGAACGAACTGCCGGACCATTCCCCAGCGCCGCGCGGCGCAAGGGGCGCCCCCGCCCCTCCTGACAACTGCATGCTTTAGGGAGCCCACAAAGGACGTACGCGCCCAGCTACGTACATGAATACGGCCCCATCGATCTGCGAGACGGGCCGCGTGATACGAACTTTCGGGAAATGCGTACTCTCGAAACCGGCGTGGATTCATGTACGTGTGCGTCCTTCTTTCGCTCCTGATGCTTGGTGTCACCCTGCGGTGACCGGCTCGCCGCCCTGAGCATGGCCGCCCCCCTTGCAGAACGAGGGCGGACACCGTCGCTGCACGGTGGGCCTACAGGCCCCGTCCACCGTCTCGGCGGTGCCTCCTCGGCCCCGGCGCTGCCCGCTGCTGGGGTGGCCGCGCTCGGTGCCGAAGCTGCCTCGGACGCCTCTGCCACGGCGACCCTGGCCTCGATGGCTGCCGCGCGCTGGCTGTAGGCCTCCAGCGCCCTCGGGTCGGTGCAGTCAGTCTTGGCGCCGCTCTCGTCGACCTCGGGGCTCGACGGTGCGGCCCCAGACTCCGCCGATCCTGGGCTGGCAGCCCGGCCCTCCGTGGCCGCCCGTGGGGGCCCCCCCCTCCCCCGCAGGGCAGTTCCGCCTTGCGCCGCTTGCCTAGGGTGGCCCTCTCGCGGGGCTCCTGGAGGGCGTCTGCTGCTGGTCGCGCCTGCTGGCCGATGTCCCGAACGTTCTTGCGGGCCTCCTCTCTTGGCGTTGCAGAGGGCCTCCTGGTGCGCCTTCTGCTGCTCGGGGGCGAGCGCAGGAGAGTGGAACCCGCCGGCGCCGTCCTCCTGCTTCTGGCCGTCCGACTTGGCTGCTGCCCCAGCGGCACCCGAAGCTGCCGAAATAAGATTGACCAAGCGGTTGACCTCTGCCCGGGCGGCCGCGCACGCTTTGATATTCCCGTCGAACTTGGCACGGATCTCCTTCCCTGCCTTGGAGATGGCGATGATCCGAGCCCTGGGTCTCCCCTGGCAAGTCTGGAGGCGACCAAGAGCGGCTGAGCCATGCTCCAAGAACTTCTGGGGCCAATGTGGGCGACGGCTGGATCACAGTCGCCAGCCCGGCGCGCACCACTTCCAATGCTTGAGCCTGACCCTGATCGTTGGCGTCCTTGGCAGCCTCGTACTTGGGCAGGAACTGACATACCACCAGCGCCGTCCTCGAGAGCGAACGTGACCTGTTGATCTCACGCGCCTGTGCTCGAGCCAGGTCCCTTGGGCTAAGGGACGCTGCAACTTCTGCATTTCTCCTAGGGTGGGGCGCCTGCCCCGTTGACGTACACGCAAAAACCAGGACAACTGCGGCAAACAATATACAGTGGAGGCCAGTTCACAAGAAACCTTCCACAAGAAACCCAACCCTGAGACCCCAGGACGACCATTGAGCTTTAGTGTGAGAATGTCACACTTCCCATTCAAAAAAACATCGAAACCAAGGAACCCGGGGCACCCTGGAGGCAAGCAGGGTGTTTCTCGGCATGGGCCTCCATCCCAGAAATAATTTCGAGCACCCGGAAAAGCGTCGAAACAGTGTCGGACGAGTGTCTCCCAGGGCCCGGCACGTGAACACCCTCGAGTTTCGGTATTCTGCTGCTGCTCGAGGTTCTTTCTGGTGAGCAAGGCTAAAGCAGGTTGGAACATCCTAAAACGAGCCCTGGGAGGGTGGCCTCCGAGGACCACCTCCGCGCCTGGCACCGCCGCTGCGCCCCCACGGGCTGCACACGATCCTTCGCCGCTCGAGGCGGCCCATCGAGCCGCGGGGGCGCGCGGCGGGCACCCCGCACCCGCTCGTGCTCGGTGCGCGCGAGCGCCGTGCGGCGCGAGGCCTCTCCCCAGGGGGACCCCGAAGCACACTCGGCTTGAGCCAACATAGCTACGGGGGGAGGAGCCGGAGGGGGAGGAGGAGGAGGAGGAGGAGGAGGAGGAGGAGGAGGAGGAGGAGGAGGAGGAGAGGAGAGCAGGAGGAGGAGGAGGAGGAGGAGCAGGAGGAGGAGGAAGAGAGGAAGAGAGGAGGAGGAGGAGGAGGAGGAGGAGGAGGAGGAGGAGGAGGAGGTGCACTGCCCGCTGAGGGAGGCAGGGCGGAGGAGGAGGATGAGGAGGATGAGGAGGAGGAGGAGGAGGAAGGAGAAGGAGGAGCAAGAGGAGGAGCAGGAGGAGGAAGAGGATGAGCAGAAGGAGGAGGAGGAGGAGGAGAAGGAGGAGGAGCGAGGAAGTCCAGCCGCCGCAGCCTTGGAAACGCGCCCTCCACCGTGAGGGCGCCGACCAGCTGCTGCAGGGCCTGGGTCGCGCGTGCTCCCGACGTCCGCGTGCGCAGGTGCCCGCTTCCGCGCGCATGCGCGCGTTCGCGCAACACCTCTCCACCACCTTGTTCGTCCTCCCTCCCTTCGTCATCGCTCGGACGTCCATTCCCTATGTTTTTTGCGGTTTCGTGCGTGGCTTTTTCGCCAAATGATCAAGGATGCTCCTCGATGGTCCTCGCCGAAGGAAAAATGCACGCGTCCGAGCGATGCCGCCCCGTCCTCTTTGGCTGGGCAGCCGCGTGCGCTGCGCCTCGGCCGGGTCCGAGAAGCAACGCCGACGCGCGCGCCCGCCAGAACCAGACGCGCCCAGGAGGCGGCCTCGATGGGGCTTGTGCCACAGACAGCCTCACAACTCAGGGCCAGAGGGCGCCAGAAGATCACACCACGCACTTCTGCAGCCGGCGAGGTGCGCACACGAGGGGGAAGCAGAGGCTGGTCGAGGAGAAGAGGCGGGCACGAGACGACAGACGACCGGAGGGCCGCGTGGCGCAGGCGCGGCAGGAGCACGCCCAGGGGGCAGGAAGGCCAGCGACCACTCGACACCAGGAGCCACCCGCAGACGGCGCCGAAGAACTTGCCCTCGTCGCGAAAAATGGCACGTCGGGAGGTGTTTGCCGGGTTCACAGCCTGGGATCCTTGGGGCCGTCAACGAAAGTGGGCTCGGGATGACGAGGCGTCCGCGGAAAAAAGGTCGGGACTTCTGGGACCCCGTGGTGGAAGAATGCAGTTGGGGCATGACCACAAGAAACCTTCCACAAAAGCCCAACCCTGAGATCCCAGGGTGTCCATTGATTTTTGGTGTGGGAACGTCGCACTTCCCATCGCAAAGCCATCAAAGTCCAAGAAGCCCAGTCAGGGCACCCTGGAGGCAAGACGGGCGTCCCTCGGCAAGGGTTCCCCCTGTAGGCCGGCCCCGACGCTTCGCTGGAGACCTCCCGGCGATGGCATACCACGAATCTTCCAAGCCACAACAGTTGTACGGATGGAGGCCGGGTCCTGCACAGAAAGGAGGCTCTCGCTCCAGCGGCGCGCGCATGCGCATCAAAAGCTTACTACAACCTCTACACGGAGGGAGGGCGGCGCGCTTTCACGGTGGTGCTGCAGCAGGGGGCCGCGCAAGGTCGTCGTCAGAGCCTGCAGCACTGCAGAGGATTGATGCCGGCTCGTTTGCAAAACCGGGGCTCTCGCCGGACACCCTCCCACCACATCCCCACAAGCGCTGAACTTGTGCTCCAGCAGCACGGCTCGAGGGCTGGTAGTCACCTTTTCAGGCGTGAGGTCGCCTCGGCGCCGCGCGCTTGTTCGCCCGCAGAGCCTTCCAGCGACAGCACGGGTGCAGGCCGATACCTTTTTGTAAAATGACGGTCTCGCTGAAGCGCGACGCGCATTCGCTGCATAATCTTGCAGCAGCGACAGAGACGGAGGGCGAAACGATTTCCACATTGGCCTCTCGCCTCTGCACCGCGCACATTCGTCTTGAGACATTGCAGGAGCTACGAAGATGTCAGGCGGACCGAATTCAAAATTGGGTTCTCGCCCTAGCGCCGCGCACCTCCGTCTCAAATATGTGCATCAGTTTCCAAGGATGCAGGGCGGCACCTATTCGAAATGGAGCGCTTGCTCGAGAGCTTCGATACGTGTATTGTATCGGCCAGATACTAGATACATACAGCAGCTGCGCGGACCGTAGGCGGGTCCATCTCATGCTGGATCTCTCCCAACAGAATTCCTCTTATTGAATGACCAGAGGTGGAATACCGTGCAACAGTTTCACGGGTGGGGGGCAGCTTCTTGTCAAAACAGGGCGCTCGCTGAATGCCTCGTTCGGGGGTAGACAATCCTCCCTTTAGTAAACCACCCTTTAATGACAACGGCCTGGGACCGAAACCGACGGACCTGGACCCGCACAACTGACGGTCGCGACGCCCTCTCGCGAACCGAAAACGGCTGATTCGCTAATCGACGTGTCAGGGTAGGAGGTCTATCAACCTCCGACTCGTTGTCTACCATGCCACAGTCCGTGTAGTCCGCCCGAAAGATGCAACGCAATTCCTTGTCGAAGTGGGGCTCTTGTCCGCATGGCAGGCCCACGGTGTGCTCGTCTCTGAAGGGGTGGCTTCGTGCGGTGAACAGGGAGGCCTGTAAGGATTCACGAGGAGGGAACTTGGCACGGGCGGGTGCACTACAGAAATGCTGCTGCAACATGAACTTAGTATGGTCCTCCTCCTCCTCCTCCTCCTGCTCCCCTCCCCCCTCGTTCACCTCCTGGCCCCTGCCCCTACTCCTCCTCCTGCTCCTCCTCCCCGCCACGTCTCCCTCAACATCCCCATCCTCCTCATCGCTCTTCCTGCTCGTTCGCTCCTCCTCCTCCTCCTCCTCCTCCTCCTCCTCATCATCATCATCATCATCATCATCATCATCATCCTCATCCTCATCCTCATCCTCATCCTCCTCCTCCTCCTCCTCATCATCATCATCATCATCATCATCATCATCATCATCATCATTATCATCATATTCGTCCTCCTCCTTCTCCTCCTCCTCCTACCCTTCCTCCTCGCTCGTCATCCTCGCTCCTCCTCCTTCCCCTCTTCATTCCTTCCTCATCCTCCTCCTACTCCTACCCCTCCTTCCCTCCCCTCCTCCAACTGTTCCTCCTGCTCTTCCTCTCTCGGTACTGGTACAAGTCCAGCAAGCACACCCAGAGCATGCTGCTGCCACCCTTCTCCCACTCATGCTGCAGTCGACTTCATGCAGGTGTGCTTGCAGCACGCCGTGCAGTCGAATCGTGCACCAGAGACGGGCCAGCAACATCGGGCTACACGGCTGTTGGAAGCTCCTCGGTCCACAAGAGCGAAAGAGCACCTGCCATACAGTGGGGACCCATGCCAAGAAACACCCTGCTTGCCTCCAAGGTGCCCCGGGCTTCTTGGGTCCCGATGGAACACTATGGAAAGCGCATCGTTCCCACATCAAAAACCAATGGACACTCTGGGATCTCAGGGTTGGGTTTCTTGTGGAGGGTTTCTTGTGGTCGGGTCCTTACTGTAGCGACACGGCGCAACGTCGAGTATGTTTCTTTGGTCCGGCTGCTGCGAGACGTCGGCGACAGCCCTCGCGGGGCCGCCGCTCCCCGAACATGGCGCGAGGGCAGCCGAGTAGCACGGCAGCTTCACCCGACGTGCGTTGCCGCACAGCCCTCGCTCAGAGAGACTCTCAGGCCTGGGGGCGGCCACGGCGACGACGACGACGACGACGACGACGACGGCGACGACGGCGACGACGACGACGACGAAGGCAGCGACGCCGGGTGGCGACGGCGGCGACGACCGGCGGCCACGCGTCCCGCCAGCCCTTCCCGACAGTCAGAGAGAGGCAGAAAGCAACACAAGAATACACGTTCGGAATTCCGCACGGAGTTCCAGGTTAGGCGCTAGTCGGGGGCGGCCAAGAGGGCGGCGTCCAAGATGGGGGGGTGCAAATCATGACCGGCGGCATGTGCGCGGCCCCAGGGGGGGGGGCTGGGGACGTAATGAAATAAGAAGAGGCGCTATGAAATCTGAGGAAATACCATGGCCCACGCCATGGTATCCACACCCCCCCAGTCATCACCCCCCTCTTTGCCGACGCCGAGCTAGGCCCCTCTCACCCGGCGCGCGAAGAGTGCCGGGAAGCGGCGCCAAAGAGGCGCCGCCAGTGGGGGTCCGACGCCGATTCGAGAAATCCGCGCGGACCTCGACAGATTTGCGCGTGTTTCACTGCACGCACTTCGCCAATCGTTGATCGACATGTTGAGTCTGCAATTGCTTCCAAAGCTGATGTCGACTAGAGGAGAGCTTCCCCCCTTGAAATATTGCCACACGACGCGCGCAGGTGGCGACATCCGAACCCTACTCCGCGAACCATCGATTCTCCTGAATCGATGTGAAGCGGGGGTAGGGTTCGGACTACGCCACGGGTTCGACGAATTCCGAATCCTACCCCCCCCGCCCATCGAGTCGAATAAATCGTTGATCGGCGAGGGTAGGGTTCGGATTTATCCGTCGAGCGCGGACCTCTCGGGACGCTGTCTGCTCTTTGCAGCCGTTGCCCAGCGCGCTCGAAAACATGGATCCACAGCAGCGTGCTCGCACAGAAAGGGCAAACAAAAAAATGTGGGCGCCGCTGCGCCAGAAGACGCCGCCTGTGGCCGGTCTTGCTCTGACACCTCCTCCGGCTTAACAGTCCGAGACAGACACCCTGACTCCAGCAAAAATTCCCACGCCCTCGCAGTCTGGATTCTGGGGCGCGATCCCGCGGAACGTACTGTAGTCGCAATGATGCGTTCCGCGCGGGGCATCCGTGCAAAAAACGCCCGTGTCCGCGAGGTCGGCGTCCAAGTGAACGGCCCGTGAGGCCGCGGATACAGGCAAATTTGCTTCGCCCGCGAACAATGCTGATGGTACTTCTGCTGGCCTTCTGCCGGCGAAGCCAACATCGTTTGCTTTTCGCAGGCTTCCGCCTCCCTGAAGGCATCTTCCACCAGATCCCGCCGAAGGCAAGATTTAGGTCGGGCGGGCGTGTCCTCCTACAGGGGGATTTTTGGACGAAACATACATATGCAGCAAATGCTCAAACATAGCCTCTAAATACTCAAAGAATGGTCCCCTGACATGTTTTAAATATTTTGGACTATTCCTCCTGTAGAGGGACACGCCCGACTTAAGGCAAGATGCCAAACCCATCTGTCCATCGAAGACGAAGCTTTTTCTGAAGCGCAGCTCCTGCAGCGACGCGGATGAAGGCAGGTCGTTCTCAAAGTTCTCGCTATAGCATAGAAAGGTTGAGGGCGAGCGTCATGCCTGGGATTACACCTCCCCCACAGTTGCACGGATGGAAGACCATTGCATACAGAAATTGAGCTATCCCTCCGTCGCCGCTGCCTGACTCCCCTCGAACAACATTCGGCGGTTGACAAACCTCCCTTTAGTAAACCTCCCTTTAGTGAAAACGCCCTAAGACCGAAACCGACTGTCCTGGGCCCGCAGAAGTAACGGCCGCGACGCCCTCTCGCGAAACGAAAACGGCCAATTCGCTAATCGACGTGTCAAGGTAGGAGGTCTATCAACCTCCGAAACACGGTAAATCCTCGGAGGGGATCATCCTTCTCAGCAGACCTCCGAGGCCCCGAGGGGCCCGTTGACGCCTCCGGAGACATCCACCTTAGAATTTCGATCGGATCGGGCCGAGGGAGCAGATAGCAACTTAGCTACCCCGATACGCAACACGCAACACGTGGCGTATTGATACGGAGCTCAACACGTGGACAGAAAACGTAGGTCCGACGCGATACGTTCGCCAAAACGCTGGCCAATACGTGGAGCCAGCACGCAACGTATTGACACGGACGTCTTGAACACGGGACGTGTTGCGTTTCAAAACGGGCGCATCGAGGCAACTAAGGATAGCAAAGGGGGGGGGGATCGAATCGGCTCATGCCATTGCTTGCCACACCGCCCCCCTGGCTTCGGCAGGGGGAGAGCATCCTGCACTGCACCTGCACGGGAAACCACGCGCAGGAGGCCCGACACAAGACCGGGCGGGAGACAATCTGAGAGACCATAGAGTCGACCCGCACACGAAGGATGCGCAGTAAGGATGCAGGGGCCTTGTACACCCGCTTCGGAGCTTCTCGAGCGGGCGCAGGCAACGGAAGTGGCCAAGGATGGGCCGAGGAGGCAAGCATGCAATGGTACCCTTGGGAAGGCTGCCCGTCCTTACCATGCGGTTCGACTGCAGGGGGGAGCCACGGGCCGCCTTCCACAGATTCGCTCAAGCGCGCGCCTGGAACAAGGATGCTGCGCGCCTAAAGGGAAGCCGCTGGATAGAAAAGCGCGTTCCACAACTCGCGAACAAAAAAAGAAGTACTCGCAGATGGACTCGATCCGCCGCGGCGGATCTACGATACAGTACACCGATGAAAACAAACTATTGATTGAACATTTGAAAGTAATCACTTTGCGAGTAATGGAGCGCGCTCGGCGATTGGAGGTATTAATGAAAACCTCGTCAGAGATCACGACTGGAGCCCCTTCGACTCCATCTCTCTGCGGCGCGGCATGGTCCCTTGCCGGCCCGAGGTCCCGAGAGCCGAGAATGGGTGGAACCGCGCCCATTGCGAAACAAAATGCAACGCCCGGCCAACGTTCTTCCTCCCTCTCGGGGGCACCCAAAGTGATGGGCCTGTTTTCCACCACCACCTTGAGTTGGAGGGGGAGGGGGTCCTCCTCCTCCTCCTCCTCCTCCTCCTCCTCCTCCTCCTCCCCCTCCTCCCCTTTGTCCTCCTCCTCCTCCTCCTCGTCCTCGTCCTTCCCCCCTCCAACTTATGGTGGTGGCGGTGGAAAACAGGGCCATCACAAAGGGGGGGCTTCCAACGGGGGGGAGAGGGGGGAAGGTCGCAGATCATGGCCGGTGGCGTGCGCAGGCGGACGAGGGGAGGACCAGGGGAAGCGCGGACAGAAGAAAAAAGGGGGGCCAGTGGATACTTACCAGCCTCGAACGTATCCCTATCCCTAAGATTGACACGCCAAAAGGCGATGACAATCTTAGGGATCCGCCCTCAAAAATAAGGGAATCCCTAAGATTGGCATCGTGATGAGGAGATGCCCAGCATAGGGATAGGCATATGTTCCAGGCTGGTAAGATACGGGGAGAGATGATGGCCCGGGCCGTGGTATCCGACCCTCGCCCCAACTCTGCGGGGCTTCCTCCTGGACCGAAAACTACGACGCGGAAGTGCGACGGGGGGGGAACGGCCATCCTCCATAGACGCGCGTCCGAGTAACCCCCTCTGGGGGTGTATCCCACAAGTTCTCCTTCCATCCCTGAGCGGCCGCACTTCTCGGGTGGCACTCGGGGACCCGGATGCGAGAGATTAGAGGCCTCCTAGATGAAATCGGAGGATCGAGCCGCATCCCCGATGCATCCGCGATGCATCGCCGATGTATCGGCGATGCACTGGCGATGCACCGGCGACGTCGGCGGTTCATCGGCGCCGCCGGCGTGGAGGAAATCGGCTCCGCATCGAGCCGCATCGCCGATGGATCGACGATGCAGCGCGATCCTCCGACCCCAGCTACTCGGACCCCATCTGGGAGGCCTATAGTTAGGTCGGGCACGTCCCCCACCAGGCCGATTTCGGACGAAAAATAAAAAAGATAATCAACAAATGCCCAAACATGGTCAACAATGGTAGAAAAAACCTTTCCCACACTCTTTTCCACACTATTTCTCGATATCCCTCCTGTAGAGGGGCACGCCTGCCTTGAGCCTGGAGAGATCTCCTGCGATGCTGCCCAGCCCGCGACGACGCCAGGGCGGGCGCAGGCCGGGCGCGAGGGGCGGGGCGCGGGGCCCCGCAGTCGAGCTGGCGCCCGCCGCCGCGGAGCTCCTCCGCCGCGGCTCTCTCCGTGCCTCGGCGCGGCTCTCTCGCGCGCGCGCTGGGCCGTGGCGCGCGCTGCGGGCGGGCGAGGGAGGGAGGCAGGAAGCGAGGCTCTCCCCCTCGCGAGGAGGAGGAGGAGGAGGAGGAGGAGGAGGAGGAGGAGGAGGAGGAGGAGGAGGAGGAGGAGGAGGAGGAGGAGGAGGAGTGACCGTAGCTTGAGGAGGAGGAGGAGGACGACGACGAGGAGGGGGAGGAGGAGCCCACCTCGGAGCTCGAAGCTGGCGGCCTCTGTGCGGATAGGTGCAACCGTCGCCCCCTCTCTGCGCGCGCCGGAGCGGTGGGCAGGGGAGCCCGATCCGGCCGCTGGTGGGGAGGACGGCCGCGACGACGGGAAGGGAGGACGAAACGGGGGGCCGAAGAAAAGCCGACGAAGGACGACGAAGGAGGCAGGAAGCGAGGCTCATTCTCCTCCTCCGCCTCCTCCGCCTCCTCCTCCTCCTCCTCCTCCTCCTCCTCCTCTCCACATCATCATCATCATCATCATCATCATCATCATCATCATCATCATCATCATCATCATCATCATCAGCATCAGCATCATCATCATCATCATCATCAGCAGCAGCAGCATCATCATTATCATCACCATCTGCATCAATATCATCACCCTCTGCATCAATATCATCATCATCAGCATCAGCATCAGCATCAGCATCATCATCATCATCATCATCATCATCATCATCATCATAATTGTCCTCATTGCTCCCCTACTCCTCGTCCTACTTCTGTCCCTGTTTGGGGTAGCGCAAGAAACATCAATTTCAGCTGTCCGTTCCGCGTCTGGAGGAGAGGAGGCTTGACTACCTTAGCGGATGCCTGATTCCAAACAGTTGCCTCTGCGCCCAATGCCACGACGTCCTCCTCCTGCTCCTCCGCCTCCTCATCCTCTTCCTCCTCCTCCTCCTCCTCCTCCTCCTTCTCCTCCTCCTCCTCCTCGTGCCGACTGCCAGCTGCGGGCGTGGATATGCTGGCTTTCAATGGGCCGCCGTGCCGCCCAGAAAGTAAGCGAGGCTCCTTCCTCCGATGCCAATATCTGGCGAAACATCGGTTTCCGATATTTTCATCCTCGAGCCGCTTGTTGACGGTCCGGGAGCCAGGAAGCAGCCTCCAGGCGACAGAGACATTCCAGAAACTGAATTCGTTTCTATGCAGCGCCTGGTTTTGATGGTCCTCCTCATCCTTATCACAAGTGACTCCGCACCGTCGCAGCACAAGGGTGAACCTGAACGGTGTTTTGGCGATCTCGTGGGCAGTTTTCGTTCCGATTTCGTTCTGCGGTAAAGGCGGATTGAGGACAAAACGAGGGAGAGCGAAAGCAAAACGAAGACGAACAGCACGAATGAAAATGAAAAACGAGGGAAACCGAGGGAAAACGAAAATAGAACGAACACGAAACCGAAAACGAAAAACGAAGACGAAAACGAGGGACGGTGAAAACACAAAACGACAATGAACGAACATGAAAAACGAAAACGAAAACGAGGTAAGACGAAAAAACAAGACGAGAACGACCAAACACCGTGTAGGCTCCGCCCCCGTCGCAGCACACGACGGGGGAGCCCACCGGCTGGGCCGTGCGTCCCCCACTGGAGATTCAATGTTTGTCAGCTCCACGAGCTCTCCAAAGCATGCAGGACACAACGGCAGCGGCATTGGATAAGGAAGCCTTCGATGAGGAATCCAGGGTCCGGAAGCCGGTGGAAGGCCAATGGTGAGCTGGCCACGGACATCACCGCCACCATCATCAGACAAGGAACCCTCCGGGGTCTGAGCCCAATGGGCACGTTCCGTGTCGAATGCCCCCCCCGTAGTTTTCAACGCGTGGTCCTTGCCGTGGCGACGGGCACCCTCGCTGCAGCACAGCGCGCAACTACAATCGGCGGTGGACAAACCTCCATTTAGTAAACCACCCTTTCGTGAAAACGGCCTGGGACCGAAACAAACGGACCTGGACCCGCAAAAATGACGGCCGCGACGCCCTCTCGCGAACCGAAAACGGCCAATTCGCTAATCGACGCGTCACGGTAGGAGGTCTGTCCACCCCCGATACAAGGACGAGAAACCACATATGTGTCAGCTCCAGCAGCTCTCAAGCATGAAGGACACCAGGTCTCAACACGTGGTCCTTGCCATGGCGACGGGCACCCTCGCTGCAGCACAGCGCACAACTGCAGGGACGAGAAAAGCCGCACATGTTCAGAATGCGGATGTTCGACGCGTGGTCCTTGCCGTGGCGACGGGCATCCTAGCTGCAACACAGCGCACAACTGCAGGGACGAGAGAAGCCGCACATGTTCAGGATGCGGATCTCGTGTTCACGCCGCGCGCGTGTGTTTCTAACACAGCGCAAAACTGCAAGGATCAGAAACCAAATATGTTTAGAATGCGGATATCGTATTCACGCAGTGCACGCTTGCTTTCTTGAATTCCAGCTGTTGCAAGGATGGAGGAGCGGAGCAACATGGGGTTCTGGTTGCTGCTTGTAGGGCGGCTTCATTGTGAAAACGGATGCATTTCCGGGCTGCCGCTAATTTGATGACCGGGCCTTTGAGAGTGTGCAGCAGGTATACGGATGGAACACAGACCCTTCTTGAATCCGGAGCTACCGCTAGACACTTCCTTGAGTTCGATCATCGAGCAACTTTGCGTGGTTCGGGGAATGGAAGATTAATCCCTTGCACACTGGGATCTCCCCTGAGTGGCAGGCCCACCTGGCGCTTGTCATTCAGGGAGGGCGCTCTCGCAATGAAGAGGATTACCTGTGCGGACTTCCCAGGAGGGAAACTCGGGACAAGAGGGTGACTTGCAGCAGAGTGGACTGATGCATCCTTGGTTTACTCTGGTCCTCGTCTTCTCTCGCGCTGCTATGACAGCATCCCCGATTTGCACTGATGGGCCAAACGCTCGAGAAGTACGACCGCCGCTACCTCTGCAGCCTTGTCCCGCCTTAACTTCCCCCCCTCCGCTGTCGGCGTCCCTCGGGCGCGCGGTTCCACGATTCAGCGTAGCTGCTGTAGTCTCCGCCAGCTCTCGCCAGCGCGAGCACAGTAGCAAATGCTGGTATCTACAGGTACGGACTCTGCCACCTTTTGACAAGAATCCTCCAGCCCATGAGCTTCGCATTCACCATTGTATAGATGGCCCGCTGGGCCTCCTCGCCGATAGGATAGCTAGCCTGCCCGATCCCCAGCGATCTGCCGTAGACAATGCCATTCACGGCGTGCGCGCTGCAATAACTCACGGTGCCCGCCTGTTTCATGTGGTCCTTCACATCGTGCCAATCGGCACCGTGTGTTACGTCGGCGATGTAGACCTGTTTGTCTCCGCTCTCCTGGGCCAAGCTTGCAGCTGATGCCGTCTGGATGCTGATGGCATCGTCGAGCTCGTGCTTCTCTGCGCCACCCTCGTTGCTGATGGCGTCGGGGTCGTGTTTCGCGACACCACCCTCGTAGCTGACGGCGCTGGGCCCGTTCCTCGCGTCGCCTCTTTCGCAGGTGGCAACGTCGGGCTTGCACTTCGCGACGCAAGCCCCGTGGCTGATGGCGTCGGGCTCGCGCTTCGCTATGCCACTCTCGTAACTAATGGTATCGGGATCGTCCTTCACAGCGCCGCCCTCGTAACAAACGGTATCGGGCTCGCGTTGCGCTTCGCCGACCTCGTAGATGATGACGTAGGGATCGTGCTTCGCAATGCCAGCCTTGCAGCTCCTGCCGCCAGGCTCGCGGTTCGTGACCGCAACCGCATGTTTCCCACTGCCAGTGCCTGCCACAGCTGCCACTGCCGCCACTTCTCGCACAGCCGCTGCCAGCCTTCCTTGCACGCGCTGGCCCGCGTAAGTAGTTGGCGGCTGGTATCCAGAACTCTTGTCGAAGCCTGTTCCCCGCCGGATCCTTGTCGTCATCTGCATCGCTGTATGCGGGCCTCTGCTCCGCCTCGTCCCCCCCCCCGCATCTCCACCGCATCCTTGCTTCATTTACCGCCACTGATCCTGCACAAGATGCTGGTAACATTTCCCGTCCGCCAGGCATATCGCCATGCTTGGTAGACGTCTGGCTCCTGTAGAGGGACACACTGGACTTGATACTATTAAGTCGCTGTGCCTCTGGAGCGCTCCCATGAGAAATCTTGGCTCAGAAACTTGGCCTTGGGCGGCTTTCTCCTGAAAGCTCCATCCTGAGAAGGACTCTGCTCAGGCCCCGCGCGGGCCCTCAGAAACTCCACCCTCAGGAGCTGCATCTTCAGAAGCCCGATCCTCAAAGAGACTACGGGGACGCAGGAGAGGGGCGTCATGCGAGCGGCGACGCAGACCTGCTTGCAAAAAACTCCCGAATCAAAATGAACATTTTTCTACTGCAATCCTCGTGAGAAGATGCTCACACATTCGCCCGCGTGCAGCGTCGCCCACCACGGACTATTCCGCTGGAGATCTGCTGGAGAAAAAATCCGAGACATGACCCACCCCGCCCAACAAGGGAGGGAAAGGAATCTCACGTCGCCGCGCGCGCCGACCAGTAGTTCCGCCGGCAGTGCGAGGCAGGCGACTTTGAGCAAACCCCCAGATCAAAACGAAGCACTTGTTACTGCGATCCTCGTGGGAAAATGCTAACAAATCCCCCCGCGCGCAGGGTAGCCCACAGTGGAACATTCCGCTGGAGGAAACCCCAAAGATGATTCAACCTGCCCAAACAATGAAGGGATACTAATCTCATGTCGCCGCGCACGCCGAGAGAGATTGTAGGGCCAGTCCCATTCGCCGTCGAGAGAAAGGGGAGGGGTCCAAAACTAAAGACCTTCAGAGGTTCACTGATGGTGTTCGGCTCGCGCTCCTCGTTGCGTCTTCCCTGTTGCGGGTTGCCACCTCTGCCTGCTGACGCTGCTGCCACTGGCGGCCCTTCGCGCGCCAGTGCCGGCCCTTCTCGCTCCCCGCCAGCCGGCACTTCTCGCGCCAGTGCCGGCCCTTCTCGCGCCGCTGCCGGCCCTTCTCGCGCGAGGGGAACGGCGCCGACGGTGTAGCTGATGACGTCGGGTGCGTGCAGCGTCGTAACTGATGGCATCGGGCTCGTGCTTCTCTGTGCCGCCCCCGTAGCTGATGGCATCGGCCTCACGCTTCTCCGCGCCGCTCTCGCTGATGCCACACTCTGTCACTGTCGCCCCTTCTCGCGCGCTGCCACGGCTGCCACTGCCGCCTGCCTCGCCGGATGCCTGAGCCGCAACTGCAGTCTTCCCCAGCGCAGCCGCTGCCGCCTCTTCTCGCATGGCCACTACCGCCCCTTCTCGCACCGCCACTGCCGCCCCATCTCGCGCGCCTGGCACCGGCGCCGCAGGCAGCCGCGCTGACTTGCTCCACGCGGGGCCCCAGTTATGGCGGGCGTCCTCTCCCAAGTCTAGCAGCCAAGCCTGCCCCAGAAAGGCTGACTGTTGTGCCTCTGTTCTTGACGGCTCCACCGGCTCCCACATTCTCGCAGCTCGGCGCGCAGCTTGTCGACGCAGTCCTTTCGCTCGTGCGGCTTGGCGCGCACCGTCCGCTGCGCGGTCTTCTGCTCGGCCTGGCGGGCGTGGCGGGCCTGCTGGGCCAAACTTGTGGCGTCTCAGACCCGGATGGCGGCGCAGTCTCTGGCGCGTGACATGCTCGCGTGAGGCGCTTGGAAGGATGTCCGTGGAGATGCGGGAACCCTGGGAGAGCTTCGAAAGAACTGCAGGAAGCCTTCCTGGAAACGTATCGGGAACGTGTCGGAAAGCGCTCTCGGGACAGGCTGCAGTGTCACAGGACGCGCTGCGAGGCGTCCTGCCCGGCGACTGAAACAGCTCCCGGGGCTACCCTGCGCTGCCGGCTTCCAGTCCGAAGCCCTCATAGAACCCAGAGGGCTACTGGGATGACCGTGGGGGGTTCTTAGTGGATGAGGCGGCTACAAGTGGATACCAAGGTGGATTATATCTGGCCCAACCTGGCTTATAAGTGGGCTACAAATGCCCCAATTAGCTTAGGGAGTTAACGATCCGGGCTAAGCGGGCTCCGCCCACTTGGCGAAATTATCTAACCCCCTAAGCCAATCGGGGAATGTGTAACCCACTTGTAAGCCAGGCTTGGGCCATACACGCACACATACCTATGTATATACATATATATATACATTATATATATGTATGTAAATATATAGATACATAGGTTTATGTATGTGTGGAGGGGTTAATTCTACCTGCAGTGTTGGTTTCGCTTGCTTTCTCGGCTTTCGCATCTTATTTCGCTCGGCGTGCCCTTTGAATGATATTGTCTGATCCTCTGATCCGCTTCTCATGTTTCTGTCTCCTCCTGCTATTGATCCTCCTCCTCCTCCTCCTCCTCCTCCCCACCCTCCCACCCCCCACACTGATCCTCTTGATCCCCCTTCTCACTCTCCGTTCTCTCACTAGCTCCTTTCATGGTCCCTCCTCATCATCGCCCGCCTTTGCTCCTCATCCTCATCCACCATTTTTCCTCCTGCTCGTCCCCGCGCCCTCCGCCTCCTCCTCCTCGTCCTCATCCTCCCTCCTCCCTCTCCTCTCTCATCATCTCCCTTCTCCTCATCGGTCCTCCTCTTCCCTTCCTCATCCTTCTCATTTCTTTCATCATCGACGTCGTCGTCGTGGTCATCCTCCTCCTCATCGTCGTCCCCACCGTCCTGATCGCATTTACCCTTTGGTTCCCGCCAGCGCTGGTCAGGATGGTGTCAGGCCCTGGGGGATGCCTTATTTTTGAAGGCGGTAGCGGTGCCTATGACCGATCCACCATTGCAGTTCAAGTCGAGTCCAGCCGAGAGTATCGAGGATCATCCTTCTTTCCTGAGCTCCAGCTTTGGCGCCGCAGGGCCGCTCGTCAGAAGCTTTTGGGAAACTGTCCGTCAGCGGTCGCATTGTGCTCACTGCTGTCTGCATGCTGCGCCTCAAGTGCCAGACTCTCTGAGTCCCCTCTGTCTGCCCTCAGCCCTGGGCGATTGCCTCCACCGAGGCCTCCGCCGTACCATTTCATCTCGTCGCATTGCATCCCAAGCGCAATTGCAGTAGAACCGCATTGCATTGATTTGCGTTTGCACGCCATTGAGCTCTACTGGATGGCGCATTACATTGCATTCGCCTCCCTCGTCCCCCTTTAGGGAGCCCGGAAAAGGGGGGGACTGACGGAAGGAGGCCTCGCAAAACATAGATGTCCGCACAAAAAAAGACAACCATTTGGCGAATCCTCAATACCCCCCGGCCTCCCGGCCTCCCCCCTCCCTCCCTTCTCCCCCCCGCCTCCCCAGAAGCTTTCGGGCTCGCACTGGCTTGCACTCCCATCCCCTTGCATTGCATTGCGTTATGCTGGAGTGGGTTGCATGGCTTCGTCCTCGTGGCAGTGGGTGCGCAGCAGGGGCCCAGGTGCCAGCATGATGCAATTTTCGGCTCAATTCAGAAATTCATTTTATTTTTTGACCAGAACTCCTCTCAGCCATCGCTGATGGGGAAGCGCTGCGAGAAGGTGACCTGCACGTTCGGAGGCAAGGGGGGGCGATCCCAAGTGAGCGGTGAAAGAAGACGGAGTCGGTTGCAATGACGCCGCCGCGTGAGCCGTCCGCGCCGTGCCTCAGAGCAGCGCTCGGGCACGGGGGGCCCTTCTCGCGGCCCGCGTAAGCTGTCCACCGAGAGCCTCGGGGTGAGCGCCCGCGCAAGCCGCCGCGTAAGAGCCGTCCTGGGAGGCACGGCCCCGTGTAAACCACCGCGTCAGGGCGCCGTGTCCTGGTGCGCCCGATCTGTCTTCTGCCTTCCCTCAGGTGAAGGTGTCCGGCCTCTGCGGGCTTTGCCGCGGCCCTGTTGCGTTCGCGGGGGAACCCCGCGCGCTAATCGCGGCGCTCCGCAAACAGGACGACACGAAGCGACAGTCCTGGCTGGAGGGGCTCCCGACGGACTGGCGCGCCGTCGTGGAGGCCACCCTCGCCGGCCCCCGAGTGGGAGACTCCTCGGACGAGAAGCCGGCGACTGCCCGGCAGGAGGCGGTGCAGCAGGAGGCCGCCGTGGAGCCGCCGGCGCAGCAGGATGCGCTGCCCCGCGTGGAGGGGCCGCAGGGGCCGGCGGGGATGCCCGCCAGGAACGCGGCGGCGGTCCAGCAGGAGGTGGTCCCGCGCAGGCCGTCGTGGAGCCGCGGGCGCAGCAGGAGGAGTCGGCCGGCGCGCAGGCACCTGCGCAGGCGCTCCCTGCCAGGCTCGTGCAGATGATGCCCCTCGCGGACGGGGTGCTCGACCAGGGAGCCTGGTCCACTTGCAGCGCTCATGCAAGAGCGGCGGCGAGCTCGGCGGCGCTAGCAGCAAAATATGGCGTTTCGGTGGATCCGCAGCGACTCGCAGGCCGGTGCGTAGATCGGGCTTGCCTCAGCGCCCGCTGGCCTGGAGAGCTCCTGGGCAAGGTCGAGACACTGCGGCTCCTGGCCCGCGACAACGTCTACACCTGCGTCTTCTCGGCGAGGTGCACATCGAGCTTCAGCGAGGCGTCGTGGTGCGTCCACCGCGCGGCCTGGTGGCGCGTCGTGGTGGTCGTGGCGAAACGGCATGGCGCTCCCGCTAATCGGGGCCGCGTGCCGACCCATTCCCTCCTGGCGCTCCGCTGGGATGCGGCGGAGGGAGGCACTCGCTGCTCGAACTCGCACGGGGAGGCCGCGCCGTACCCGCTCGTGCGGGAGGCCGACTTCGAGCGAGGGCACTTCGTCACGGTGCGCATCTCGGACTGCGCCGTGCCCGGCCGGGCAGGCAGGGAGGTTCCTTGCCCCGTGCCGCCGGTATCGGCTGCGCGGAGGCGCCTCCAGCCCAAATGGCCGCTCGCCCGCGAGCGATGCCCCTTTTATTCATCCTCTCCGTGCGCCCCGCCCTCCTCCTCGCACTCGTCTTCTGCTGTTCAGTCCTGAGGCGTGTGACCACGTGGCGGCGTTGGCCATGTCTTGAAGGATTGAGTAGCGGCAAGATGCAGCCCAAGGCGGCGCGTGGTGTAGTTTATATGTCAGCCAGGGTAAAGCGTGATGTCACAGGGAGGACAGAGGGGGAACCGCCAAGGGGGGCCACGACGGAAAAAGGGGATCAAAGGGAGACCAATATGAGACCAAAGGGGGACCAAGAGGGGGACCAAAGGGAGACCAATAATGGGACAGAAGAGGGACCAACAGGGGGACCAAAGGGGGGCCAATAGGGGGACCAAAGAAAGAGTAATAGGGGGACAAAAGGGGAACCAATGGGGGGACCAAAGGGGGACCAATAGGAGGACCAAAGGGGCACCAATAGGGGGGCCAAAGGGAGACCAATAGGGGGACCAAAAAGGAACCAACAAGCATCACAACGTGAACCGCAACAGGAACCGCAACAGGAACCATAACAACTACCACAACAATAATCAGACAAATAACCAGAACACGGAAACATGAAAATACGAAACCACGGAAACACGTAGTCATAGTGTTGGTTGGGAACTTCTTATGCCGTTCAAGTGATTTCACACCTTACAGCGAGTTTATTAGCTGGGTTATGTAAAGTGCTTTGCCGCCTTCCACCTCCTCCTCTTCTCCCCCTCCCGCTCGGCTCCAACTGAGAGCCCCAGTTTTTCGTGCCGCCGCCTGGTCGCTCCTGCGGCGCGTGATGTAGTTTATATGTCAGCCAGGGTAATGTGCGATGTCACAGGGAGGGCAGAGGGGGAACCACAAAGGGGGGCCACGACGCTCGTCCTCCTACAGGCGGATTTTGGGCCAAAAATAAAATATAGTCACACATTTTTGTTTAATGACCATATACTTATATATGTATTTAGAAGTCGTCCCCAGACTACTTTCTACATTTTTGAATGCTCCTCCTGTAGAGGGACAGGCCCGACTTGATGTCAGGGGGGGAAGCAGCCCAGCGAGCTCGACCGCGAGAGGCGGCCGCTGAGAACCCCAGCCATGGCCCGCCGCCCCGAGGCCGCGGCCCGTCGTGCCAGCCAGCCACCTGACGACCTGCTCCCCGCGCAGCGGCCCAGTCTGCTCGGTCACCGACACCTCCAGGACCTCCGGGAGAGTGGGGGGGCGAGCCGCCTTCGGATCGAGGGATCGGACGGGGCCGGATCTTGCATCGCATGGAGGGGCGAGCGAATCAGCCCACGCAGCTGGCTTCCCCGGCACCTCCAGGACCTCCAGGACCTCCAGGACCCCCAGGACCTCCAGGAGAAAAGGGGGGGCGAACGAATCTAGGGGGGGGGGGGGGGGGGGCGAGCCGACGCCGAATCGAGAGATCGGATGGGGTCGGATCGTGCACCGAAGTGGGCCGCATGGCCACCTGACGGCCTGCTCCCCGCGCACCCGCCCATCCTGCTCGGCCACCGTACGGGACGTGACAACGACCACAGCCACTGCTTTTCTTTTGTTGCCGCCTTCCAGCCAGCAGAAAGAAAGCAGTGGTTGTGGTCATTTTCGTTGAGCTTGGCACCAGGGAAATGACCACAGCCACTGCTTCTTTTTTGGCTGGCTGGAAGGCGGCGCAAACGAGAAGCAGTGGCTGTGGTCGTTTTCCCGCCCCGCACACCGACACCTTCAGGACCTCCAGGAGAAAGGGATGGCGAGCGAATCTCGAAAAGATGAAGAATAAGAAACAAACACCACATGAACATAAATTTGTGGCGCTCCGCGCGGATTTCCTGGATCCGCGCCAGACGGAGCGCGCCAGGGGCGCCGCCGGAGGCGCCGCCGGGGGGGCCCAGCGCGGATCCAATCCGCGCGGAGCGCCAACAGTTTATGTTCATGTGGTTTTTCCTTCTTCGAGAATCAGCCCACGCAGCTGGTTTTCCAGCCACCTCCCGGCGCCGGAGGCGCCCATGCATCGAGGAAAGCGCCCGGCGGCGGGCCGACTTCGAATCGAGAAATTGGACCACATTGGATCGGGTCGGATCTTGCATCGAATTGAGCCGCATAACCACGGAGTCGGAATCGAATCGAATCGACTGGCCCAAGATGCACAGCAACGCCGTGGAAGCATCGGGCCGCATCGGACCGTCGGAACATTGGAACCGAATCGGATCGAACCGGCCGAACTCGATATCGAAGCGGGATCGATCGGATCGAAATGGGCCCTGCGGGGATGACGAGGGCGAAAAGAGGGGCCAGACACAGCGTCGGAGCGCAGGCTGTTCGATCGCCGCGGGCGCGTTCCGCGCGGCCAGGATAGGCCAGAGCGGTGGTGACAGTCGCGCGAGGCGAAGGACGAACGAACACATAAGCCTCCGATCCCGCTGAGTCATCTGCACAGAAGCCTTCGCATCGCTAGCTTACTTGCACTCGGAACCCGTCGGATATGATCCGGGGGATCAAAAGCATCGCATAGAGGGCCTGCGGTCGCCAAGGAGCGATCTGGCACGACCGAAGCTCCCAAAGATCGCCGCAAAATCGCCAGAGAGGTCTCCAAGATGGTTCCAGAACGGCCCAAGAGGCCCCCAAGACAACCCCAAGAGGCCCCCAAGACGGCCCAAGAAGCTTTTAAAACGCCCAAGATGGCCTCCAAAACGGCCCTGGACCACCCCAAGAAGGCCCCAAGTCGGCCCAGAGAGGGCCTCCAAACGGCTTCCGACGGCGTCAGACGGGCCAGGAGCCCACCGAGACGACCGAAGATGGCCCTCAGATGGCCCAAGGCGGCCCAACAGGCCTCCAAGAGGGCCTCCAGGAAGGCTGGAAAAGGCTAAAATCAGTGATGTTCCATTAGTTTTTGGAGGCTTGATGAGGCATATGCTTTTTGTTCGGCCTTCCGACGGCCCGAGACGGCCCAAGAGCATCAAAAGATCGCCCAAGAGTCCCAAGAGGGCCCCAAGAGGCTCCCAAGACGGCCCAAGAGGCCTCCAAGACGCTCAAGATGGTCTCGAAGATGGCCCAAGAGCCTTCCAAGACGTCCTCCAAGATGGCCCGAAAGGGTCAAAAAGGCCTCCAGACGGCCAAGAGGACCTTCAAGATGCCCACGTGTTCCCCGAAGGCTTTCCAAACCGACTCGGGGAACACATGGCCCGATAATTTGGCAGATCTGGCCTCAACTTTCGGCCACACAGGCGCTTTCCAAGACCCGGTTCCACAGGGCTTTTCCTGGTCCAGACGGCTCCAAGACGGCCCAAGATGGCCTCCAAGATGCATCCAAGACGGCCAAGATGGTCTCCAAGACGGCTAAGATGGCTCCATGATGCCTGTAAGACAATCAAAGATGCACTCAAGACAGCCTAACATGGCATCAAGATGGCCCACATTGGCCCAAGAGGCACCCAGGAGGTCTCCAATGCGGCCCAAGAGGCATCCAAGAGGTCCTCCACAAGGCCCGAAGAGCTCAAAATCATTGATTTTCCTTTAGTTTTTGAAGGATTTTGGCATTTGCGTCTTTTGGGCTTTCCGTCGGACGAGGACGGCCCAACAGGCTCCCAAGATCGCCCCAAGATCGCCCAATAGGCCTCTGAGATGGCCCCATGACGGCGCAAGAGGCCCCCAAGACGCCCCCAGGAGGGCTGGAAGACCGCACAGGAGACCTCCCAGACGCCCAAGATGGTCTCCAAGACGGCCCTGAAGCGCCCCCAGAGGGCCCCAAGACGGCCCGGAAAGGGTCCCAAAACGACTTCCGACGGCGTCAGACGGGCCAGGAACGCACCAAGACGACCAAAGAGCCCCTCGAGAAGCCCCCAAGAAGCCTCTAAAGGCTCCCAGCAGGCCTAAGGAGCCCCCAAAGAGGCCTCGAAGAAGCCCCGAAGAAACTCCCAGCAGGCCCCAAGGGTGCCCCAAGAGACCCCCAAGAAGCCTCATCCTCCTACTCTTCCTCTGTCTCTTCCTTCTCCTCTTCACGTTCGTTTTCCCCAATGTGTTCCCGGAAAGCCTTCCAAACCGACTCGGGGAACTCATGGTCCGACACCCTGGCCAAGCTCTAGCCCAACTCTCGGCCACACAGCGGTTTCCAAACAAGCAGGGTTTCCAAGATGGTCCTCAATGAGGCCAAGATGGCTCTCAATGGCATCCCAGATGCCTCGAATACGGCGAACATGCCCTCCAATATTGCGAAGATGCCACAATATGCCTCCAATCTACCCCAGCAAGTCTCCAAGACGTTCTTCAGGAGAGTCCGAAGATGCCCAAACCATGCTGTCTGAAGATCGCGCAGGAGGCCTCCAAGATGGTTCCATGCTGGCCAAGAGGGCTCCAAGACGGCCCCCAAACGGCTCCAAGATAGTCCATTATGGCCTCCAAGATGGCCAAGATGGCCCTCAATGGCCTCCAATAGTTTGGCCGACCTGTGGCCCAACGATTCGCCACAGAAGCACTTCCCACAAGGCAGGGGACGAAAGCCTCTTGCCTTTCCCAGAAGAGTCCGTATATTCCTTCTCCCTCTCCTGTCCCATCCCTCTCCTCATTTCGTCTTCCTCCTCCACTTGTTCCCCGAAGGCTTTCCAACATGGTTCGGGGAACACCTTGCTCCAGAGCTTTAGGGTCGTCTTGGCCAGTCCTGTTTCGAACCAGCTTCAAACTGGCAACAACAAAACAATATGCCTTCAGAGTAAATCAAGAATGACCCAGAGAACTCCCGAGGAATATCGCCCTCCGTCTTCTTCTCCCCCTTCTCTTCATCGTCGCCCTCCTCCTTGTCTTTCCCCCCGTGCTCGTCGTTATCTATATATTTCTGATACACCTGGCACGCAAGTGTTTCAAGGATGTTGGCATTTGCGTCTTCTCGCCATTCCGACGGCTAAAGACGGCCCAAGAGGCCTCTTCCTCTTCCTCATTTTGTTCATTCTCCCCCACGTGTTCCCCGAAAGCTTTCCAAACCGATTCGGGGAACACATGGTCCGATAGCCTGGCAGGCCTCTGGCCACAACGTTCGGCCACATGGGCGCTTCCGAAAGGGCAGGGGGCGGCGGTGATTCGCCGCAGGCGTCTTCGATAGATAGCACCACGCAAGTTGCTAGAAACCCACTTTTCGGGGCCCACGCGGGCTAGCGTAACATTGCTTGTTCCCGCAGGGCACGTCAACGACTGCACGACTGCGCCGCGCAACTCGGCTGCCGAATCGAACTGGCGCCCCACGGCAATGGAGGGCGCGGTGGGGGGGGGGGGGCGTCTGCGCCCCGACCCCGTCTACGCGCACCACTACCTCTGCGACACGTTACCTCAAGGGACGCCAGCGAAAGGGGCTTCTGAAACCGAGACGCTGCATCCGAGACTTCGAGAAGTGCGAGTGAGCGTGTCGTGCGGCGACCCTGTGGGCGAAGCCGAGCGGACTTGGGAAATCGGCATCGCCCGTCTCACAAGTCCCTGTCTAGAAAAAGAAGCAATGGCATAGATACAAACTGTTGGCGCGCCGCGCGGATTTCTTGGAACCGCGCTGGGCCCCCCTCCCCTCCGCGCGCCAGTGACGGCGCCCGAGGCGCCGCGGGGGGGGCCCAACGCGGATACAAGAAATCCGCGCGGAGCGCCAACACTTCTGTTTATGGCGTTTTCTTCTTCTTCTTCTTGTTCGAGACCCTGTGGGCGAAGCCGAGCGGTCTTGAGAAGTCAGCATCGCCCGTCACGAAAATCCCTTTCCCTGGGGTCCCTTTGTCTGGAAAGCGTAAAACTCGGGTGCGGGTACCTCAGGTTGGCCTGACGGGGCCGCCATGGAAATGGCGAGACCCAGTCTGAAATCTGACGCGAGCTCCCGCCGCAAGCGTCCCACGAAAATTTGGACCGGCAAACTCCGGGGCGGGCTCGTCAAACAGCGAAGGCGAACCCGAGCTCCAGTGTACCCTCCTCCTCCTCCTCCTCCTCCTCCTCCTCCTCCTCCTCCTCCTCCTCCTCCTCCTCCTCCTCCTCCTCCTCCCCCTCACCCTCGAGTCTGACGTTGCCCCGATGTTGGAACCGAGCGACGCTGCGGGTGTGGCCTCGCTCGCCGCCTCCCGCCGAGAGCCCCCGCGGGGACCTCCGCCGAGGAGGGCCCACCCCCCCGCCTAGCAGGCCTCTTCGCCGGGGCCTCCCGCCGCAGGCGAGAGGCACTGGATCGCGTCGTGTCGACTCCGGCGTTGGTTCCTGACACCGCGGGGATCGTTCAAACTTGAACGATCGGCCGTTCCATTGACGCCAGATCGTTTAACGACCGGCCGATTCTGGGCCACGGGCGGCGTTCAACATTAAACGCACGCGCTGGGGTCGCCGCCGGTGGTCACAACGCGAACCTGCCGTAAATAGCCACAAATCCCAAGATCCCCCGTACTTTCCAATGTCTTCTGGGTGTCAACCTTCCCCCCCACACTTCCAATACTGTCCGACATTTCCTGGGGAGCCGACGATTGATTGTCCGTGTTTTTTGTTCCCCTCGCTCGCCTTTTGCACGCCGGCCAAGTCGCCTTTCGGTCGCCCAGAACAGCCACACGCTGAAGCGGACTAACTCTGCCTCGCCGCCGATGGAAAAAGCGTTTTTTTCCCCCCTGGATGTTGTTGCTCTTGTGGTTGCGGGCCCCGCAAACGCGCAGGTCGGCCGGGCAGCTCAGGGGGCACTGAGCGGCCAACCGAGCACCCACACGACCCTGAGATCCTGGCGTCTCGATCTCTTCGAGCCGAGCGTTTGAAGGGGCCCAGGGGCACACAAATAAATACACACAAATCTCAAGATTCCCTACATGATTCCGTATTTTCTGGATTCTCGTCTTCCCCCCCACTTCCCATATTTTCAAATTTGTCCTTGGGGATCGACGGTTAACTGTGTCTGTGTGTTTTCTCCCCTCCTGACGTTTTCGCTCTCTTCGGGCCCCGGGACCCTCACATACCGATCCGGCTCGAAAAATGACGCAGGAAGGTGGGGTCTAAGGCTCTGGACACTTTTTCGCGATGTTGCACATGTTTCGCTACGTCGGATCTCAGGGGAGAGGGGGGAATGGAATGCAGGGCGGCCGCGGATCGGCGGCGAGAGGAGAGGGGCGGGGGGGGGCACAAGAAGGAGACGGCCTTCTCAGAAGGCGGCGGGACTGCTCGGAAGCCCTGGGGCCCTCTGAGATGTTTTCTGTCTTCGGGAAACTTCCACCCAGCCCCCACTGCAGGCCGCCGAGCGGAGAAGGGGGAGGGAAGGGTGGCCACCCCGTGCAGACCGTTTAGGTCTCCAGGGGGCGTGCTGCGAAAGCGCTGTTTGCATGCCACAGGCTGGTGCAGGAACATATCTTTGTCGCGGCCCAGGGAAGCCGAAGCAGGAGCCCGTGCCGGCGTCGCGGCCGGAACCGGAGCCACGAGCTCCTCCTCCTCCTCCTCTTCCTCCTCCTCCTCATCCTCCTCCTCATCATCATCATCATCATCAGCATCAGCATCATCAGCATCATCAGCATCAAAAACATCATCATCATCGGCATCATAAGCATCGTCATCGTAATCGTCACCATCAGCATCATAATCATGAGCATCATGAGCATCATGAGCATCATCAGCAGCAGCAGCAGCAGCAGCATCAGCATCAGCATCAGCATCAGCATCAGCATCAGCATCATAATCATAAGCATCGTCATTGTCAACAGCATCATCATCACCATCATCAGCATCTTCAGCATCATCTTCAGCAGCATCAGCATCATCAGCGTCATCATCATCACTATCATCAGCATCATCATAATCATCATCATCAGCAGCAGCATCATCATCAGCATCATCAGCATCATCAGCATCATCATCACTATCCTCGTCCTTCTCCTCCTCATTCTCCTCTTCCTCCTCCTCCTCCTCCTCCTCCTCCTCCTCCTCGTGCCAGGCCCGGAACCGAGCCCACGCCCGATGAAAAACCCGGCGCCAGAACCGCAGCCCAAGCGGCCGAACCTGTGCACCTCGCGCTCTGTGGCCCAAATGGCACTACTACTCCCGGCGCCTTCTCCTGGCTGCCGGCTCCGGGGCAGGGCCACGCATCGGACACTGCCAGGGGCGACGCCCCCCTCCCCCCAGAACAACGACAAGCCCGCCACCCCGCCGGCCAGACTGCCAGTTCTGTCGGTGGTCCCCAGAGCGCGTCCTAGCCCCAACGTGCGCTTGTCCACAGCAGCCCTTCAGCACGACGCAGGCTTGGTCACGAGGGCCGAAGCAGCCAACGTGGGTACACGCAGCTTTGACTCGCACACGTCCTGAGGGTCATCGACTCTTGGCGACAAGCACGGCTGTGCCTACCGCCGCCGCCGCCGCAACATCTGTCCTCACTTCGTGAGACCTCGGACCTCGATGGCGCCCCGAGCTCCCAGCCCCCCTCGTCTGGAGGAGACGCGATAAGAGAAGCAGCAGAAGCCACGGGGGAAGGAGGGCTGGGGGAGGAACACGACGGCGGCGGCAGCAGCGACGGCGACGACGGCGACGACGGCGGCGACGACGACGGCGACGGCGACGGCGACGGCGACGGCGACGGCGACGGCGGCGACGACGACGACGACGACGACGACGACGACGACGGAGACTGCGTCGATGACAGCTGCGGCCGACGGCAACGACGGCGGCAGCAAAGACGGCGACGGCGACGGCGGCAACGGAGGCGACTGCGGCCTGCGGGCTGTGCCGCCCGATGGGCGCGGGGCGCGCTGCCATGGCGGGCCGGGGGGCCCGCCAGGAGGCTCTGGCGCCCTGTTTTGGGGGAGGAGGACGACGACGAAGAAGAAGGGCAACGGCGCGCGGCCGCAGTGGCTACCGAGAAGCTGCCACATGGCGGAATCAGTCAATACCGAATCGGGAAGTCGGGTCGGATCGGAACGTGCGTCGGATCGGGTCGCCTCGGCACGGGGCCCACATCGAATGGGATCGGCTGCGCAAGAGTGCACAGCAACGCCATGCGAACATGGGGCCGGCACGGATCGCCGGAACGGCGGACTCGAATCGGCTCGGGTCGGCCGGAATCGATATCGGATCGGAGCTATCGGATCGGAATGAACCCTGCTGTGGCGGGCAGGGGAGCCCGCTGGGGGGGAAGGGAGGGGAAGACAGGGGAAGACTGGGCAAGTACGCGCGGCTGATCACGGGAGGGTGGCGTCGCGATGACGTGGGCGCTGGTTTCTGACACCGTGTGGATCGCTCAAGCTTGATTGACCGCCGCTTTCTGCTATCGGAGATCCTTCAGTACTGGCCGAATTCAGGCAGCTGCTGAAGTTCAACCCTGAACGCTCGCGCTGGCGCCGCCGCCGCGCCAACACGACGCAAACTTACCGCACCTGGACGTGGCCGAAACCACGACGGCCCGTTACCAAGCATGTGGACATTTGGAGGCCCGTCTCGGGTCCGGGCGCCAGAAAAGAACGAGCCGCGACGATGCTCCGGTCCTAGGGTCCGACGTCGTGAACAGAGCACGTCGGAGGTCGAGTGCAAGAACTCCCCAGGAGCAGCTGGGAGCCCCAGGCCCCGAACAAGCTCGGTGGCACCCCGTGGCCCACCCCACAGCCCGGGCACTCGAACATCGGTGGCCCACTTTGGCCCCCCATCGTGGCACCCCCGATCAGGCCGTGCACGGTACAGGAGGGGCTCGACCACAAGAAGCCTTACGCAGGAAACCCAACCCTGAGACCCCAGGGCGTTCACTGATTTTTGGTGTGGGCACGTCACGCTTTCCATGGCAAAGCCATCGAAACCCAAGGAACCCGGAGCACCCTGGAGGCAAGCAGGGTGTTTCTTGGCATGGGCCCCCACTGTAATCTGCCACCAGGGAACCATTCTGCTTACCCTGTCCACCGAAAAGCACCGTTTACGTTCCCGACACCGCCGCCAGCTGCCGGAGGCAGTATCGGATGAACCATCAAAGGGGACGACGCTACTTGGTTGCAAGCGCCAGCAAAAACAAACAGTTCACGGCTCCCGCACTGCGCAATGCACGCGGCCAATGTGTGCAGAGTGACGCGACGGCGCCTCCATGTCATCCGGTGCGACGCCCGCCCTTGGAGGAGGGGGGATTGGAGCCACGCAGGTCCTGTCAAACGCTACGGTGTGGGCATTGGATAAGGAACCCTTCGACAAGGAATCCAGGGTCTGGAAGCCAGTGGCACTCCAATCGTGGATCGGCCATGAATATCACCGCCGCCCTCATCGGATAAGGAATCCTCCAGGGTCTGGCGCCTCCTGGGACTGTTCCTTAACAAACGCCTCCACCACCATGCCGCAAAACTGGTCCTCTGGCCACGAAGCGGCTCCCAATCCCCAGGTCAGCGGAGGGAATGCATGTTTGGGCCTGCTCTGCATTGGCTCCCCACGGCCAGCGCTTCTGTGGGCACTTCCAGGCCGCAGCTGCAGCAGATTGTTGCGTTGCAGCGTCTTCAGACAGCGACGCTCTCTGTGGATCTTGCTCCGCAGAAGCCCGGACCTCAGAACTCGGGTGTCGCGGCAATGCCGGTGCACACGCCATGGCCAGAATCTGCATGTGTCCAACGTCGCCCCTCACGGTGGCAGCGATAGCCCTGGAAGGAGGAAAGGCAAGCCGCCTGCTCTGCAGAAACTATCCGCCAGACGCCTTTTGACAAGGCGTCGGATCGCCCGCATCGGCTGCGCCAGCCCGGATTCCAGCGCGCGCCCGGGCTGCTCCGCTCAGGCGCCGGGCGGTGGCGCCTCGGCGCCGCCGGGGCCGGCCGAAGTCCGGACGAGGTCCAGCTGGTAGTCGGCCAGCGTCACGGCCTTGTTCCCGGCCTCCGATTGCAAGGCAGTGGGCTGCGCGCACACACACACACACACACATAGACACTCTCTCTATATATATATATATATCATACACACAGACACACGCGCACACACTTTTCGGCGTCGCGGCCACGCTCTCGGCGGCGCAGCGCAGAAATCCGGGCGACGAGAACACACGCACACACAAACACACACACAAACACATAAACACACACAAACACACACACAAAAAAAAAAAAACACACACAAACACACACAAACACACAAACACACAAACACACAAGCACACAGACACACAGACACACAGACACACAAACACACAAACAAAACACACACACACAAACACATAAACACACACACAAACACACTCACACACACAAACACACACACACAAACACACAAACACACAAACACGCAAACACACAAACAAAACACACACACACAAACACACAAAGACACGCCGATCCCGACCAGGCCCATCCTGAGGTCAGGAACGGGGCACACGCCGTCCCAGCTAGGGCCATGGCCCTGAGGGCGCACACACCGATCCTGTGCCCAGGGCTACACGCCGTCCCAGCTCGGCCATGGCCCCGGGGGACGTACACACCGATCCTGCTCCCAGGGCGTGCCTGGGCCCACGGTGGGTACGAGCAGGATCGTCGCATCGGCAGAACAACGGGTCAGAAAACGATCACAGAGGCTCTCACCCCGAAAGCTAGTCTCGACCGCCGCCCCCCCTAACGCAAGGAGGCCCCGCCCAGAGGCCCAGGCGGCCCCACGAGCAACATCGTTGCCTCTTGTGACGGATCTCCCTATTGAGTCCGAGGGGGGATTTTGTACGGGGCTCTCCGTGGGTGTGCTGATCACGCACATGTTCTTGCACGATTCGGACATGGATGCCCTTCGCACGTTACTGGTGCCCCTTTTTTGGAACCGACTCGTCGACCACGGCCCCATATAGTCCATCAGACACGTTACGAACGGTGCGCCGCCAGCTGAACGCATACCGCGACAAGATTGCATGGGGGTCGCCCGTTTCTGGGGTCACCAATTTGTTGCACCGAATTTGAGTGTGTCTTTTACTCTGTCTCCGGGTAAGCTGTCTTGGAACTTCTTCATCAAGACTAGGAATATGTTCTTTCACGTTCCATGCACTTCGGCTCATCCCCCGAACGTGCTCAAATATGTTTTTTCCACCACCTTTCGAGTCCTCCGCAGATGTTCAAGGCACTCGGATGCCACTTATGAAACGCCTGTGGGATTTCAGGATCAAGCTTCAAAACAGGGGATATCATGGATGGCTAGACTCCCAGCAGTTTCAACGAGCCGTGGCACAGCACAGCATAAGCAGCATTTGCACGATTGTACAGCATACGTCGCGTGGCAGAGCATTCTGTTTCATGACATAGCACGCTCAACACGCAATTTCTTAGAAAGAATGCCCTTTGCAAATTTGCGAGCCGTAGCAAAATCATCCTCGGCTGGAGGGTGCACCGATCACTGTTCCGGTGGCTGCTCGCCTTCACCTGGCAACGGGAGGGAGGAAGTGTCCACCGTGACACGGACGCTGTCTTGTCCTTTCTACAAAAAGAATATCATTCAAACGCAGTTCTAGATTCTAGACATGCCGACCTTCATGCACTTGCGAAGTCATGGAGAATCGTATCCCCAAAGTCTCTGTCTCCCGTTCCGCAGCCTGTTATGGGGTCCAGCTGGGGTCTGCCGAAAGCGATATCGCCACTGGACTGCACCCAACATTTGAGCACAGCCCTGTTCGGAGAGACCCGCTCTCTGATTCTCTTGGCATTGAGAAAGGTCCTGTTCAGAGAGTGCCGCTCTCTGGTTCTGATTGAAGGGGCCCTGCGACACACATAGAAGTACACACGCAAAAAATAGGATTCACCATATGTTCCCATATTTTCTGTGTTTTGTCTTCCCTCCCACTTCCCATACTTTCCCATATTTTGGGGGGAACCGACGATGAATTATGTCTGTGTGTTTGTTTCCCTCCTGACTGTTGGCATGAACGGGTCCAGGTCCTGGGCCCCCGGCCTTGCCCCAGGAGCAATTTTTCGCCTCGAGCCGCTTCCTCGCATCCCCGGAGCCCTTGGAGGGCCCCGGGAAGCCAAAGCGGCGAGCAGCCTCAGGACACGTCGCCCCCAGGTTGTGGATGCCATGGCATTGGACACCCTAACAATCCGATCATTGAGTTCAGCGTGTGTTTCAAATGTTTGAAGCATGCTCTAACATGTTTTAGGTCTGACGCTTGTTAGAAACATCTGCACATCATTTGGCAACGTGCTTCCTCTCCATTGATCGTCCTCCACAACCGTCAGGCCCCCCTTGGCTTTTCATGCCGACTGCGGGCCTCGAAGAAGAGCGGGTCGTTGGGGTTCAGGAACCCGAGCAGGCGGACGCGCCCCGCGACCCCGCCCCCGGGCAGCAGCCTGAGGTCGGGCGCACCCTCCTACCAGGGGGGGTTTTGGATGACAGATACAACAATATTCACAAAATGCTCCAGAAATTTTCAAACATACTAGAAACATCGTCCCCTGACTATGATCTGTACTTTGAACGTTTCTTCTGCAGAGGGATACGCCCGACTTCACAGCAGCCTGTACTCGGTCAGGACCTCCTCGTCGACCGCCAGGGGGTTCAGCCGCCCCTGGCCGAGGAGAGTGCGGACGCTCTGCGAGCCACGCCACAGGCTGCTGCCCTCGTCTTCCGACTGGAAGCGCACGACGATGATCTTCTGCACGCCCAGCTTCGAGTAGAGCAGGGCCGCCATGAGCGGATCGTCGGGGCCGTCGCCCCGCCTCAGCGACTCCTCGCGCTTGCTGCCAGGGATGTCGGTGTACTCCACCCGCTTCGTTACCGGCTTGCCCGCGTAGGCGTCCTCCCGGGCCCGCAGGTTGAAGAGCCGGTCCTCGACGACCCCCCCGCGCCTCCTCTGGAAGTAGCGGAGGTCGTACTCGACCGGCACCCCCACCCTGCGCCGCTGATCGTCCAGGGCCTGCTTGGCCATCCTTTTGGAGGCCCGAAATGGGTACGGAAAGAATGAGTACAACGCCCAACAACATGTTGTCCCAAACCAACAGCGGCCGCTGTTGGGCAGGCGGCCTTCAGTTTCAAATGGACACGGGCCGCGGCGGCGCGGACAGCGAGTCCTGTACACAATGAACAGGAACTGCTGTCGGGCATCGTACCCATTCTTTCCGTACCCATTTCGTTCGTGCCGAATCCTGGTGTCGCTGCCGCCGTTGACCACATACTTCAGCCCCAGCGGCGCGCTGTAGTTGGTCAGCTTGGCGGTGACGTGCCAGGTGCCCTCCATCCAGGGCGGGTAGAAGAGGTCCTCAGGGCGGCCGAACGGCAAGCCCCACACGCTCAGCTTGTCCAGCTCCTTGGGGAGACCAGAAAGTACCGTTGTGGATGCCATGGCAATAGACACTCTCACAATCCTGTCATTGAACTAGAGATGTGTTTCAAATGTTTGAGACATGTTCTAAACATGCTTCACACATGTGTTTAACACATGTAGATATAAATAAAAAAAACATGTTTGAAACATCTTGTGGGCATCTGGAAAATATCTGGCAGCATGCTTCCTCTCCATTAATCGACTTCCACAAAAGTATCGATACCGCTACCCCCAGACCTCTCCCAGGTTGCGTTCCGACCGGGATTTCGAGGCGAGTCCAGCGGTGGCGACGAGGGCAGCCCAGGAGGCCCCAAAAAGGGGGAGAAAACAGGTGAGGGGCAGCAATTTTTTCTGGGTGCCTCTTCCTCCCGTGAGCTCCTGGCCAGCGAAGCGCCGCGCGAGCACGAGATCCTGAGGGGCAACGTTAGGGGGGGACTGGCATAGGGGGGGATGCATCGACCTGGAATCGGCGATGCGTCGCCGACACATCGGCGATAGGCCCCCGATAGTGAATCCCCACCTTCCTGGGCGGGTTGGTGCTATCAGACCCCTATCGGCGATCAATGGGCGACTGGGGGTCGATGCATCCCCCCCTATGCCTATCCTCCCCTATCGTTGCCCCTGAGGTCCTCTGCCCAAGCGCGGCCTCCCAGGCCGGGCAGCGCCGAGGCCGCCAGCGCCGCCGCGCTGGCGCCGCCGCCCACGAGCGAGAGCCGCCGCCCCGCGCTCCCGGGCAGCTCCGCGGGGCGCTCGCGGCGCGCCCCCGCCGCCACCACGATCGGGCCGGGCCAAAGGGGGGGACAGCTCACGCAGCTGATTTTCCCGGCGCCTCCCGGCGCCGGGAGGCGGCAATGCATCGAGGAATGGGCCCCTCGGTGAGGCCGAAACCAGCTGCATGCAGCAGATTTCGTAACCCCCCCTTTCCCCATCCCCCCCTTTCGTTCGGCCCGACACGAGCCGCCGCGCGCGGCCCCCGGCGCCTGGCGGCCTTCGCAACCTCAGTGGGGCCCCGAAGATTTTACGAAGACAGTTCTGGAGGCCTCTCGCGGCAGCTTACGATTCGATGTGCGTCGGATTTACGTCGGATTCACGTCGGACTTACGTCGGATGTACGTCGGGTTCACGTCGGATGTACGTCGGACTGACGCCAGAGCATCGCCGCACAAACGTCGACCCATAGCTTGCGGAACTGACGTGTGGAGTAGATAATACAACTATTACGCGCCGCGCGAGGCCTGCAAGATGTTCCTCGTAAGAAGATGGATCTGCCGCGTGGAACGCTCCAGGAACTGGGGGTCCGTGAGGTTGACACCAACACCAACATCGGCGGTGTGCCTCCACCGAGGGAAGATGGTCCCGATCTCGGCGATGGTAATAATATTTGGGCCTCCTCGGGGGCCGCAAGATTACCACCAACACCACAATCTGGGATCATCCTCCCCTGGTGGACGCAACCCACTGTTTTGATGCTGGTGCCCAGTTCCAAGCCTCCAAGAACGACTCCTACCTCCGCCGGCTTCCGCCGGACTTCCGCTGGTGGAGCCGCCCCCCGTTTTACTCCCGGCGTCGCGCGCCGGCCTCCCTTCACGGAGGAGAGACATCGACTTCTGGATCCTTCGAGGGCGAGGTCCTTCCTGGACAGCCTCGCGTGGCATATGTGGATATTCTGGGTGAAGGTCGAAGCAAAGGCCCACTCCGCAGCAGCGGCGAGGACAGGCCAGCGCAGGGAGGCGGCGCGGACAGAGAGAACGGGATCGCAGCAGGAAGAAGCGCGACCGGATCCTCCGGATAAGTGATCTCTCCAATCGGAAAAGCTCGTTCGAACACAACGGATGTACTCAATTCGTCGATTTCGAACGTTTTGACAGGTGCGCAACGTCCATGCTGCTTCAAGACGAATATAGGCCGCGACGAAACCGTCCAGTTCGAAAGCACGTCACCCACATCCCGGCAGAGTCACCATGTCCCACTCGCCTCCCCACGACATCCTGCAAGATCTGGCAAGAGGGCCACTGTCAATCATGCGTCCAGCGCATGGCCAACAGGGCTCTCCCCTGTCTGAGGGGGAGCACTCAGGCAGACTGCAAACAACATCGAAGCGCAAAGCCTAAGGGACAAGAACAGGTTTCTCTTCCGAGCATGCCCTGTGCCATCCTATGCTGAGTGATGAGTTGCGGAGCAGTTCAGAGCGATAACATGCGATGCCAGCTATTTCCCAAACAACTAATAATTACTACACGTGCCAGACGTGTAGTAAACCCAATCGAAGAACAGCACCGCAATTCACTGCGAATCAAAAGAAAAACAAGGCACAGCGGTGCAGTTCAATGCGTTGAAATGCGTGGCGATGCTGTTCAAAGCAATGCGGTGCAAAGCAGAACGCAACTGACGTGCAGCCGCAATCTAGTTCAATGCAGTGCAGTGCTATGCAAAAAGACCCGCGGAGAGGCAATGCAGAGTAAGGCAAGTAATTTCAACGCAAAGATATCACATGCAAGGCAGTGCCATACAAATCAAACGCCCAAAATGAAATGCAATCCAGTGCAATGGAACGCATTACACTGCACCGTAACGCAATTACAAGCCTGGAAGATCAGTAAGAAGATCAGTAAGAAGATCAGTAAGAAGATGCCGGCGTTAAGAAACTGAGCCAGCTTTTGGGAATCCGTTGTCGAATTTTAACAAAGTTTGAGACCCAGCTTGGCGGGAGGGAGTTTCTTAACAGAAGATATGAGTGTACTGTGCATTCAGAGCCAAACAAGGGAACACACACCCAATGGCAACACAATGTATCCCGCAACAAGCAGGAAACGCAGCGCAACGTAAAGCTGCTCTTCAACACATGGTGCAATCGAACGACGTAAGACCGTTGGTCAAGAACGCGAGCCCCATCGACGACCAAGGACCCATGGAGATACTCAGACCGAATGCCATCCCAATGTGGAAAGCCCATACGTGAACAGCATCGGGAGAACTCCTCCAACGTTAGGATTGGTATCAACCCTTGCGCTGCGTAGCAATGCAATGCAACGCAAGCATGCGCAAAGCAATGCAACGCATGGCAGCGCAAATGCAGCGCAGCGCGACGCAACCTCATCATGCAGGCATGCAGCACATCTGCAACGCAAGGCAGCGCAGGGGGCCCAAGGAGCCTGGGGCACCCGCAGGGGAGCACGGGGAACCTCTGACGGAGATCCGGCCCCACCTGGGCCGCCCGAGCCCGAGGCTGTGGGCTGCCGCGAGGCCCCCCTGGGCCTCGCACAGAGCGGGCAGTGGCCTCTGAGTTGGGCGGAGCCTGGCTCAGGACCTAGCGCGAGCCTCGAATATCCCGCGCAGCCATGACTCCTCCGAGGTCCAGCACCACAACGTTGGGGCCAGCGCTGCTAAGGGTGCACAGCGAGCCATCTAGGCAAAGACGCAGCAAACGCATCACAGAACCTCAGCAACGTACGAAACCACTGCTCACTACCCTCTTGGGGCAGTCAACTCCATGCCGGCATAGGTGGAATACGTGGCGCCAATTCCCCTACGGCTGCGCCCAAAACTGACAGGACTTCTTTTGACAAACTGTTCCTTGCGGCTCGCTATCATCGAAAATTTCAGTATTCAGCTCGGAGCCGTCGGTGGAGGACTCCTGCTCCTTCCTTCTCATCCTTGCATCAGCTCGCTGCTGCAAGGGCCAGGCAAGCGATTCCCTCGACTGCCCTGGTGATGCGCTAAATCGACACGCAGAACAGACAAAGAAGGTCCCCATCGCACTCCTCATCATCAGTCATACACGTCGTTCATTTCTAATCGTGCTCATTTCTAATTGTGCTCGTTTCTAATTGTTCCTGGCCCCCTAGTGGTCAGGAAGAGGCCCAGGATAGAACAATTAGAAATGAAAGGATCAAGGATCTTGCCCCCCCCAAGAAAAACCAAGGAACTCTCGAAGAAATAGACATGAACAATGTGTACATCAACACGCAGAACTGACAAAGAAGGTTCCCCTCGCACTCCCCTCAGCATCAACCATGCTAGTGCCCCAGGTGGCGATGGCCTCGCGGCCGACCGGGGTTCTGCCCTGAGACGTCCTCCCGACCCTCCCGCCTCCTTGCAGGTGCGCGCAAACATGGATTAGCGATCCATGGATTTGGCGCGCGGTCGCCAAATCCATGGATCGGGGGAGGTGCCCTCACCAAAATGTGGCTGGTGGCGCCTCGCTCGGCGGCGGCAATCAGCGATTTCCTATGGAACTGGGACCCGTCGCTAATCTACGCCCCCTTAATCCATGTATGCGATCCCCCCGCCTCCTTCTCCCCCGTCCTCCTCCTAAGCCCTCATCCAACCCTCCTGCCCCTCGAGCAGAGCAAGGGCCGCCTGGGGCCTTCGGAAGCTTTACTCGAGAACGGCGTTCGAAAGACTTCGGAGGTGTCCAAGTGTCTTTGGAAGGGCGGGGGGAAGGGGAGGTGGATGACAGAACCACTCTCGAGTTCGCCCGACCCCTAACACCGAAAGGCCCAAGGCGATGACGATCTTAGGGATGTGCTCTTCGAAACTGGGCGTATCATTAGGATCTGCACCGACATAAAAACGATGCCAATCGTAGGGGTAAAAATATGGTCCATGCTGGCTGGTGATGGTAAAATCGCTCGAGACCCGAGTGGCAGCCTAGCCGCAGCTGGTCGCCTGACTCTGCAGGTGGGGAAGGTTGAAGAGGAAGAGGATGAGGACGAGGAGAAGGGGAAGGCGAAACTGAGGAGCAAGCGGAGGGAGGGCGGTTCTAAGGAGTGCGCGATGTTCTTGTGAATGGGGGGGCGGGGTCTCAGAGGCGTGGGATCAGGACGAGGAGGAGTGGAAGGGAGAGAAGGTGGAGGGGGCAGGACGAAGAGTACGTATCAGGAGGCGGGCAGCAGCAGGAGGACGATGAGTGGCGTAGGAAAGGGAAGGGGGAAGGAGGATGGAGGAAGAGGGGTAACAGGAGGAGAAGGAGGGGGTGAGGAGGAACAGCAGGAACACCACACCGACCAAAGAAACATCACATTCACATGAAAATGAAAACAATAAAAACTCACCCTCCCCGTGAAACCCGTCAACAAACCCAGCCCGCTTCCTCCTCTCCAGGACCCGCCGTCCGAATAGCTCAGCCTTGGCGCGAGAGGGAAAACCAGACAGGCTGAGCCTCGGGCCAGATGGGGCTGACCTTGGACGACAGGGGGGGCGGGGCCCGAGGGAAGCACCCCTATAAGGCCAGGCCTGGCGGCCAGAAATTCTGCATTGGAGTCAGGCTGTGAGGCCGCCGAGCCGACTCGCTCACTGCGTCTGAACAGGTGCTTGCCGTGGGCAGTCCGAGCCACCCGGCGCTCCCGCGCCCGCCCGAGCGAGACCCGGGGCAGTCCGGCGCGAGAGCGCTCCGACCCCACGAAGCACCAGCAGGGCAGGGTGGCCGACGGAGCCACACGCGGTGCAGGAGACAGCGCGCTCGCCCATGGCCCCTTTCCAGGGCCTGCGGTGGGAGCCTCAAGGGCAGGAGCCACCGCGGGCGCGCCGCGGCCTGCCGTCAGCCCAGGCACCGGCCTCCTCCTCCTCGGCGGGAGGGGCAGCGGAGCTGCCGACACCGGAGGGGCTGCACGCCTGGGGAGGGCAGCTCGGGCCAGCAGCATCATCCTCCCCCGCTGGGGGGGGGGGGGGCATTCCCCCAACCCAGCATGCCGAAGCCAGGAGAGGGGGCCATGGTCGACGGAGCCTTTGCCTGAAATGAAGGCCTCTCGACGGGCCGCTAGCATTGAGACCTCTCTGGGGCTACTTCGGGACACCCATGACTTACCAGACGGTCCTGCTCAGAACATCGATGCAACGCAGCCCCGCGGCGATCATACTTGTCCGCCGCGCGGTTGTCAACCCATCGAACTCGTGTCGGCCGACCATCCACTACGCCTGCGGCATTGCAGTGCGCTGACACTTTCTTGGCAGCAGCGCCGCCCAGCTCGTTGTGGACTTGGGCCCACCAGTGGGCTCGAGGGCTGAGGGGGCCGGACGCGGCTCCAACGTCGGAGGCGCAGGCCACGGTGCCAACGCAGGCGGTCTAGATCCAAGGTGCATCCCCTCGGGCATCACAGCATGGCGCGCGGGATGGAGGACGGCGTAATCTTCGCCGTCCCTAGCCGCATGGAGGGGGCCCCGTCTGGCGGCGCCACCCCCCAGAGGACGCCGAGAACACGCACGTCCCCATAGTAGGCGGCGAGCGAGGGGGGGAAGTGAGAAGGGGCAGGCCTTGTCAGAAGGCTCGGAACTCCCTGGGCCTTCTGAGAAGTTTTTCCGAGCTTCCCTGGAGGCACAACAGACTGCTCAGAAGGCGCGAAGGCTTTGAGAAATCCCGCCGCCTACTGAGAAGGCCTTCTCCTTCTCACTTTCCCCCCCTCGGTTGCCGCCGACACGAACCGTCACCTCTGACCATCCCGCCACTCCAAACGATGGGATCGTGCTCCTGAAGGCCGACCTGTTAATGAGCACGTGAGCCCCCGGGCCCAGAAGAAGCCCGTCCTGGGGCCAGTTGAGCCCGCGGAGGTAGCAGGAGGAGAAGGAGGAGGAGGGGAACGAGGAGGAGGAGGAGGAGGAGGAGGAGGCAGAGGAGGAGGAGGAGGAGGAGGAGGAGGAGGAGGAGGAGGAGGGGAAAGAGGAGGGGAAAGAGGAGGAGGAGGAGGAGGAGGAGGAGGGGAAAGAGGAGCAGGAGGAGCTGATCTGTGGGTGCGCGTATTCTGGCACATTGACCAGTTGGGCGCGGACAACTTCACGCTGCGGTGGATCAAGGCTCATACCAGCTGGCCAGAAGCGGTCCGCCGCGGGATGGCGTGGGTCGAGTACTGGGGCAACCGCGAGGCCGACCGCTGCGCGAGGCTCGGCGCGAGGCTCCACCCGCAGCTGAACATGGAGGTGCTGGAGCGGAGGTGGGAGACGTCTAAGGCTGCCGCCGCCCTGCTCTTGCGCCACCACGGCGAGGTGTTAAAGAGGCACGCTCGTCTGGGCTGGCCTGACCGTGGTCCCCTGCCCCGCCCGCGCCCCCCCTCCAGAGACGGTCTGATTTTAGAGAGTTCGCCGAGGGGCCACTCGATCGTTCGTCTCGGGAGGTGTTGGGGGTGCGAGAAACGCGGAGTCAGGAGAGCCCTCAGGTCCCGTCTGGTCTCACACCCGTGCCCTGGGGTCCCCAGGGTAGCGGCCTCGTTCCACCCCTCCCATAGGCTGTGGGCGTTTCGGGGTGGTGGGGCGGGGAGTGTGTCGGGGGCCCATGGGAGTGGTGGGACGGAGGCGATTGTCTTCTGCCGCACGTGCGGCGCGTATGGTCGTCGCAAGGCCATGCTCCTGTCCCAGCTGTGCACGCCCTTGTCGCAGAAGGCTCGGACTGCGGCTCGACTAGCTCGTGTGGCCTTGGACAAGCTCAGGGCGGACAAGGAGCCCTAGTCTGGCACGTTTTGGGGGCTGCCCTTTCCCCTCGCCCGTTCGGGGCCTGGTTGATTTGTGGAGGCCCTTTTCCGAAAAGTGGGCTCGAAAGGCAAAACACCATTTTTTTTTGCCTTCGAGCCCAGTTCTGTGGCCGGCCCCCGAGGGGGGGTGCCGGGGGCTCGGCGGAGCCGTCTTGTTTGGGCCTGGTCTCGTGGCCTGCCAGGGTTTTGTTTCCCAAGGTCCCTTGGTGCCTGGCTTGGCCTGCCAAGGGTAGTTCCTGCGGAGCAGGTAGGCGAGTTTTGCTCTGCGGAACTCGTTCTTGTAGGACATAGAGGACGTAGAGGAGGAGGAGGAGGAGGAGGAGGAGGAGGAGGAGGAGGAGGTAGCAGGAGGAGGAGGTAGCAGGAGGAGGTAGCAGGAGGCAGGGTCAAGAGCCCTGCAGGGGAACCCAGCGGAACGGTCGGGGAGGAGCCCCCGAGCAAACGCCACCCCGGGGGTCGCCTCCCGAGCGGGCGCGCCAACGCCGAGGCTCCGGAGGTCACCGTGGAGCTCTCGCCGTGTCTCCCAGGCCGCCAAGCGAGGGCAGTCGGACCCACGATGGAGTGGGGGGGCCGCCAGCCTCACGGCTGCGGCAGTCAGGCCGGATGTCTTGTGCGCTTCGCCGAACAAGCGGTCTTGGCGCCAGCGGCAGTTGGCCAGGGGCCCGCGCAGCGAACGTGCTCGCGGTGGCCCGACCAGGCCTGCGAGCCTTTCCTTCCTACGAAGGAGACATGGTGCGGGGCGGGGGCAGACGGGGCCAGACCATTGCAGACGACTGAGCCCCTCGGCCACGACCGCAGCCCAGCACTCCTGGCTGCAGTGCACAGCGAGAAACCCCGGCGAAGAGACACAATCGAGAGACCGCCGTCTGCCTTCTCTGTCGGCTGCGGCCCCTCGCCGATCATCGAGGCCCCATCCGATGCACCTGAGCGCGAGGAGGAGAGCGGCAACGGGCTGCTTCGCCGCGCTCCGTGGACGGTGTCTGGCGGCAGCGGCGACCACATCCTCGCGGGCGGCCAGCAGCAGCAGCACCTCGTCTGGAACCGTCCTGTGCCACCAGACCGGCGCGAGGCACTTGGCAGCTGACGCGGTCGCGCGCGCCGAGGGGTCGCTGCGCCACTGCGCATTGAACAGCAGAGCGGGAGGGCACAGAATCGAATCGGTAAGTCGAATCGGCGATCGAAAGTAATCGGATCGGCGAAAAGCGGCAGCCGAGCCGGGAGGGGTCGAATCGGCTGAAATCGGCACAGTGAGAAATCGGAACCCAAATCGGAGTCCCAAGTCGAATCTAATCGGAATCGGAATCCATCGAAATCGAATCGAATCGTATCGGGGGAATCGAAACGAGCCCTGCAGAGTGAATTCAAACGACGAGCCTCGCTGGAGGGGGCCAGTGCGGCGAGCCGCCGCTGCCCGAAGCGCACGCAGCGGCGACGAGGAGAGATGCCCTGCACATCTGCTCCCCACGCAGGCTTCGCGGCGGGCCCTGCACGGAAGGCACAAAAAAGCCTCGCGACCGCGGCCGCTGCTTCGGAGTCGGGCTGGGGAACCGGGAGCGGCCATCCTCGAACGATGGATGGGCAGGCGGCGATGACTACACGTCGTTCGTTTCTAGTCGTGCTTATTTCTGATTGTGCTCGTTCCTAACTGTTCTTGGCCTCCTAGTGGCCAGGAAGAGGCCCAGGATAGAACAGTTAGAAATGAAAGGATCCTGGCCCCCCAAACAATCAAAGGACTTTCGAATAATGAGAAATGAACAACGTGTACCGCAACCCACGTCTCCGCCCGAATCCCGACGGGCGTCGGATGGCAGCTCCAAGCCGAGGGGCCAGGAAGGGCCGCCCAGGGAAATCTCCAACAGCTCGCTATCCGACAACACCCAGCACGTCTTACCAACCGTGATCGGGAGCTCGAGCTGCCGCATAGCTCCCACGATCACCAGACCGCCCAAGCAAGTTGGGGCGAGACAGTGCTGGCGCCACCGGTCGCGCGCAGCTTGATGTCACCTACTACACTTACAGAACGGCATACGGGGGCCTGGATGGCCACTTCCTTCAAAACGCAAAGCGCGAGAAGCTTCGCGACCCCAATGGCGCAGGAGCAACCTGCCACCGCCGCCCAGTTTGGCAGGGCGGCTCAAGAAGCGGCCGCGCGCCATCTGACGCGGCGGGGCCCCGACAAAGGGAGCAAAGGGTGCGAAGAAGGAACGCATCGAATCCGCAGTGCTTGGCGCACTATCGGAGAGTCCCATGCGACGCGTTCCCAGGGGAAAAAGACGAAAGATCGAACAAACCGAAGCACTGCTCATGCCTCGCCTGCGCGCTTGCACCGTCGGAAGGTCGCGCGCGCGCGCCGCTCAGTCTGCCGGCGCGCCCGACCTCTAGCCCAGGAGTCCAGCCCGCGCCACTCGGCTCCCCTCCAGCGCATGCGGCTCTGTAAACGCAGAGGGCCCCAACCGGGCGGCGGCCCAGATGGGGCGGGGGCTTCGGCAGGAAGACCGCGATGGTGATCCGCGAGCCCGGCATGGAGGCCGCTGCCGAATGGACGCGGATGCCCAGCTTTTCGACGCCCGCAGTGGGCGTTGAAGAAAACGGGCACAATGCCCAACAACAAATGTTGTCCAAAACCGACAGCGGCCGCTGTTGGAGAGGCGGCCTTGTGACTCAAAAGAGCAACGTCCGAGGCGGCGCGGACGGCAAGTCCTGCAAAAAAGAGAACAGGAACTGCTGCCGGGCATCGTGCCCCTTCTTTCCGTACCCATTCCGCTCGCCCCGACACCTCTCCTCCACCTCGGCTGCCTGGCCGATGCCGAGGCGGCTGGCCCTCGCGATGCCGGCGCCCGAGGGCACCGCCTCGAGGCGAGCACGCCCAGTGCGCTCGGCGGGGCCGCGAGCCGGCGGGCGGCCGGCCGAGGCGCCCCGCTGGGCGTGCTTCGCCGCTGTCCAGCGAGAGCCCTTCGCCGCCGGACGGGCCCGAGGCCCCGGCTCGCCCAGCAGGGGGGGCTGGGCGCTGCTCCGCCTCGCGCTCCCTCGACGCGGAGGGGAGGCGCGCCCCCCAATGAAGGGGCCCTGGGACACACAAATAAATACACAAAAATAAAAAAAATCCCCATATTTTCCTATATTTTCTGGGTTTCTGTCTTCCCCCCCACTTCCCATATTTTCGCATATTTTCTGGGAATCGACGAATAATTGTGTCTGTGTGTTTTTTCCCCTCCTGACCCGAGCCGCCCCCTCGGCGGCGGCACCACCGCCGCTTCCACAACAACCAGGGCCCTGGATTCGGCCGGTGGCGGCGGCCGAGGGAGCAAGGGCGCAGGCCCGCCCGTCCCGGCCAGCGCCGCGTCCCCCGGCAGGACGTCCAGCGGCAAGTCCACGCTGCACGCAAACAAAAATATCACGGCGGTGTTCGACGCCCGCCGGATCGAGACTGTAGACGCCAGCACCATCGGCATCATCATCATCATCATCATCATCATCATCATCATCATCATCATCATCATCATCGTCATCAGCAGCATCATCATCATCATCATCATCATCATCATCATCATCATCATCATTGCATCATCATCACCACCACCATCATCATCATCATCATCATCATCACCATCATCATCACCATCACCATCATGATCATCATCATCATAATAATCAGCAGCATCATCACCACACCCGCATCATCATCACCACCACCACCACCACCATCATCATCATCATCACCACCACCATCATCATCATCATCATCATCAGCATCATCATCATCATCCACATCATCATCGAACGCATCACCGTTTGCATCACCATCAACATCACCACTATCATCAACATCATCGTCAGCAGCATCGTCATCATCATCATCATCATCATCATCATCATCATCATCATCATCATCATCATCAACATCAACATCATCAACATCACGAGCTCAAGTAGGCGTGTGGGTCGCCGCCTGGCTGGGCGGCCCGGAGCAAAAGGCCACCGCGCGCATCCTCTGGAACTCGCGCTGCACCTGCAAGGTACCCTCGGGGGCAACCGCCCCTGCCTGCGGGAGCCGCTGCCGCATCTGGCCGGCGTCGGAGAACAGGCCCTCGGCGCTGGCGTCGGCGCGCTGCTACCGCTGCGCTGCCAGAGGGGCCGCTGCCTCCACACGCCCAGCCTCCAGCGGGGGCTGCACCGCCTGCGCTGCCGCTGGCGGTAGCTGGTCCTGTCTGGGAGCAAGCACTTACGCTGGCACCACGTGCGCCGCCACCGTGGAACCGTCTGGCATGACCACCCCCAGGCGCTGCAATACCGCCTCCAGCCCCCTCGCGCCGACGCCGGCCGCGCGCTGAGGAGCGCGGGGCACCTCGAAGGTAGCTGGCGGCGCCAGCGGCGCCAGAGCAGCCAGCTCAGTTTCCTGCATCTTGCGCTCCGCAAGCTTGGCAATGTCAGCTTGCGACTAACACGTGAGACCCCCCCAGGGCGATGATGAATAGAACCGCGGGGCGCGAAACATGTTTGTTTAATCACGGGCGCTACGGGGTCGTCGCGGGCACCGCCGAGGGGATCGCGCACACCCCTGCATGACAGACTCAGAACGATTGCCTTTTCGTATAGAAGTTGTTATGGAAGTCTATACTTCCAGGGCGATTTTTTTTCCCCCGCCCAGGCGTCGTCATCGTCGTCCTCGTCGTCGCCGTCGTCGTCGTCGTCGCCGACTACAGCGGGCCCACGCAGCAAACCCCCCCAACCCCCCCACCCCACCCCAACGCGGCATCCGCAGGTCGTCGTCGTCGTCGTCGTCGTCGTCGTCGTCGTCGTCGTCGTCGTCGTCGTCGTCGTCGTCGTCGTCGTCGTCTGTCGTCGACAACAGCAGGCCTGCGCAGCCCCCCCCCCGTAGGGCATCCGCAGTGCGTCGTCGTCGTCGTCGTCGCCGTCGCCATCCGCCGCCCGTCTTTTTCGTCACTCGTCCTCGCCCTCCTCGTCGTCATCCTCGTCATCGTCCTCCTCGTCGTCGGCGTCGTCGACTACGCAGGGCCTACTCGTCGTTGTCGTCGACGACTGCAGTCAGATCACGTCATACGGGGGGAGGAGGACTGCCCGCCTTGCTCGGGTCGGGCGCAAGGCTGCGGAAAAAAGGGATAGTTGCGAAATCTGCTGCGCACAGCTGGTCTCAGTCGCCCCGCCGAGGTGCCAGTCCTCGATGCATGGCCGCTTTCGGCGCCAGGAGGCGCTCGGAAAATCAGCAATGTGAGCTACTTGGCAAATCCCCGCTTGGCCACGCCCCCCTTTTGTCCAGCCCGCCTTGCTCGCGGCCAGGGCAAAGGAGGCGCATCTGTTCGACAAAAGGGCACGGAAAGTGCGGGGGAGAGCGCCGACAGCAGTTCTTCTTCATTTCGAACAGGTGTCGCCCTGGCTCACGGTCCATGCTTCTGCCGCCCTTGCCTCCCGCTCCCCCCCTCCCCCAGACTGTGCTGTTTCTGTCGCCTTCTCGCTGGCGGCAGGGCGTCGGCGCAAATCACCGGCGCCGGCGCCGTTGTGTTTGAATTTGGCGGGCGCCACCCCCGCGACTCACCCGAGCAGAGGACCTTTATTTGAACACGCGCACCCCACGGATTTGTTGATCACTAACTGACATTAGTGGTATCAACGACCAGCTTCTCGCCTTCGGCAAAACCCGCATGGACCTCGACCAATTTCGCCCCATCTCGCTGTGACCACAGGCGCGGCCTTCTGCAAGTCACGTTCGCAGGTCCCGATGTGGCGCGCAACCGTCCGCATCTGCTGGCCGCGTGGCTGCAACGAGCGGATGGACAGCTGGATGTCCTGCTGCTCCTCGAGCAGCGCCTTGACGAGGACCCCCGCCGCTGCACCACAGATGCACTGGGCGTGCGGCAACTCCTGTCCAATGGCCTGCAGCCGCTTGCGGGTCGCCGTGATGTCCGCCCCGCCGGTGTCCAGATCCTCATGGCTGTTGACGGGTAGCCTAGCCGCTCGCGCTCCTTGGCGGCATCCTGGAGCCGCTGGATGAGCTTGGCCTGCTGCTGCAACTGGGCTTGCAGATTATGCTGCACCTTGGTCTCCGCAATCTCCCGAGCTCACAGCGCCCGAGAGCCCGACCCATAGTCCGCGACGGGTGTGGAAAGAGGGCCACCCTCTCCTCCTCTTGAGAGCCGAGAGCCGCCGACGTCGGCCGCTTGCACATGCAGCGCTGGGTGTCCTCCGCGAAGTTGAGAAATGGCTTGCTCGAGGCATGAAGGCAAGTCTTGCAGTGCCACTGCTGCTGCATCGGCTGGGCACGTTGTCCAGCGCCTAGCCTGGCCGTGGCGAGGGAAGGCTCACAGCGTCAGCGCGCAGCTCGACCGTTGCCTCACCGGTGTGTGAAAGATGGAGAGCTGGCCTCGCATCCATGGTATCCGCGGGTTGCGCAGGTCAACCAAGCATCTTGAGCCAACATTGCGACAAAAGGATCAGCAGAAGGAGAAGCAGAGGCAGCACAAGGACGCCAGGTCCGAGGGAAGAGCGCAAATCCTGCCAGGACAGACGTCGGGGTCAACAGGTGCCCCATCCCTCCACCTCTCCTTCTTCCTCCTCCGCCTACTCCTCCTCGTCCCTCTCCTCCTCCTCCGCCTCCTTCGTCTCCTCCTTCCTTCCCTGTTCTCCTCATTTTCCTTATCCTCCTGCAGGCTCGCCTCACCGTGCTGCAGCCAAGCCGACCCAACCGAGAAGCCCAGGACTCGTGAAGGCCGCCCCCCGACGAGGTCGAGAAGCGAAGGCCAGGCGGTCCTCCGGGCTGCACAAACGCCCCCCCCCCCCCCCTCAGGAGGAAGAGCCGGTGCAAGTAAACGCCGAGTAAACATGAGGAAGAGGGGAAGAATGAGGAGCTTCTCGTCGCCCTCCTCTTCCCTCCACCCTCCCCGTTCCTCCACCTTCCCCTCCTCCTCCTCCTCCTCCTGTGCTTCTCCTCCTCCTCCTCCTCCTCCTCCTCCTCCTGTGCTCATCCTCCTCCTCCTCCTCCTCCTCCTTCTATTCCTCCTCCTCCTCCATTTTCCCCTCCCTCCTCGTCCTCCTCCTCCTCCTCCTCCTCCTCCTCCTCCTCCTCCTCCTCATCATCATCATCATCATCATCATCATCATCATCATCCTTCTTGTCCTCCTCCTCTTCCTCCTCCTCCATCCAACTCGTGCTCCTCCTCACTCTCCCCTCGCTTCCCTCTCCTCGTCGTCCTCCTTCTCCCTCCTCTTCGACGGTCTCGGGAGATCTGCGGAGGTCTCAGGAGATGCCTCGGGAATTCTCTGGAGACCCCAAGAGGCCTCTGGGAAAAGAGGAGGAGGAGGAGGAAGAGGAGGAGGAGAAGGAGGGGGGAGAGAGAGGACGATAATGAAGAGGGGGGAG